TAAATGTAGTGGAGTAAAAATACCAGGTTAACCTCTGAATTGTAGTGGAGTAGAATTACAAAGTAACAATGAGCTGTCATGTGGGTATATATTAATGCTGCGCATTATGGATACAAGCGATTTTCACCCAATTAGTAATTACATGTTTTACATTTGTACACACCAATGTGTTTCCTATCGCCTAAACCTCCAGGGCTGTACACAGTTTAATACTGTCAACTTCTAATTTTGGGAAAAACGAAAACGTCTTTTAAAACTACAATTCCCAGTAGAGACGTGCCATAGAGAACATGTTGCGAAACACAATAGCCAGCATGTGTAGTTCTCGGGGGGCGTTCAAATCCAGTTTTGAATAGTCTGACGTGGTTTCGTTCCATTTCAAAGAGCTTGACGCTCGGCGTAACCTTGGTGCACTGCCACTCCAACATCCAATCCCAGAGTTTGAAGATTAATCACGGGGTTTGTCAACGGGATTTTAGTCCCAAACGATAGCTGGGGATTACGGGTAGTGTAGTGTCTTCGGCCATCCTAAACTGAATTTTTTTTCGGATATCATATCGCATTACAAGCACCACATCTGGCGTCACAGAATATTCTGTTACTGTCCTTTCTTCTTAGAGGAAGTACAGAAACACGTAACTCTGGATTTGTTTTAATGTTTGAGGTGCAATAAACAACACAGCAGCTTTTTGGCATGTTAAAACTATTATTTTCTGCCTCGCTCATGAGAGTAACAGCTGGCGAAATTACAGCCTCGCCTACTGATTTCAAATGTGTGCTCTAAAATGATATTTATAAATGACTATTATCATTATTATTAGCAAGACAATAAATGGTAAAGATATGTAGAAAATAAACGTATTTAAGATACGTTCATAAGAAACGTAACGTGGGAGAAAATATGTTTCTAGAAGATATGTAGAAAATAAACGTATTTGAGATACGTTCATAACGAACATAACGTGGGAGAAAATACGTTTCTGGCTAAACGTAATTGAGAATGCAGTTTAGTTCTGTGGGAACGTAATTTTTAGGAGACAGGGTTGTGTACCTTGTTAGCTAGCTGACATTAACGTTAAACATTGCACTCATATTACTCACCGAAGCCTTATAAAGCCGGTCCCCCTGCTCTTACAGAACCGACTAACTCCCCTTTCATGTATGTACAGCTCTCAACATGCCCTGACTTGTAGTGATTGTCACCTCGTTTTATACTTTTCGCCTCATTCTGAAAGAAACAGGTGAAATTTGCTAACGTGACGGCCATCTTTGTGATGGTGACGCGTATTGTGCGAGACCAGAGACCTGTAGTTCACTGAGCGGTTTCACACAAAAAAATTTGTAACTTCACAGTTTTACGACACATTTTTTTTTTTTTGACTTGCAAAATGTTCTTTTAAATTAACAAACATCATATGTGTCATTCGTGGCACAATTCAAAAGGGATCAAAAGTTAACTTTTCTCTCTCCATTGACTTCAATGTATAATTTTCCGCTTCCGGGTCCCATGGAGGCTCCCGGAAGGGGAGGGACTTCGCCTCTCTATTTGGAGCAGGCGGGAGTTGAACTCTGACATCACTGTCGAGCCGTTAGTGGCCGACTCCGCCTACTAAGGGCTTCTCCGCAACTCTGCAGAATCCTATGGGTGACGTCACGGACCCTACGTCCATTTATATATACAGTCTATGCAAAAAACCGAAGCCTCATCCCAATACCCCTCCTCGACTCCTCTCTTCCCCTCCTCCGGGACTTGACCCGGAAATCGATCAAGACACGCCATGTTGAAGGACGTCCCAATAGCTGAAATGCACATGGAGGAGTCGAGGAGGGGTGCGGGAGGAGACGAAAGGGAGGATACACGCGAGCAGACTACGCGGAAGTGTTTTCACTACTCGCGTATAAAAGCCCCGCCCCCACCTTCACAGCTGGTCGATTTCAACAAAGGAAAACCGACAACTGGAAGATGAGTGGAAAAGCGTCACATAAATGTATAAGTGCTCACAGCTCCGTGGGAATTATTATGTGCAATTCATTTCTAAAAGGCTTTCACAATACTATAATTATATTTGTATTTAAATGTAGGCTACATTTTACACCAAAACGGAACACAAAAGCAGGACCAACCATCATACATTGAATTCCTTGACTAACAAGAGAAAGATTCATTCATTTAAATAAATATTTAACAACAAATGGGCCGGTTCTAAGGGGTTATTCAGTTAAGCCCGATGAGAGGGGATACAGCTGTGCACGTCATCATTAACAGACGTCGTTTAAAAGTGACGTTTGAGTGAACGAGGACATCCCAATTAATACCTGAGGACTCCTCTGTCCTCGCGTCACCTCAGAGGCTTCTCAATTCTTACATTTCCCCTCCTCCACTCCCCTCCTCGATTCCCCTCCTCGAAACTTAGTCCCGCCACAGGAGATGCGAGCGGAGGAGGGGAACCGAGGAGAGAGGAGGGGAAGCAGCAGACGTTTAAAGAAATGAGAACTCCTCTCCTCTGAGCGGTCATTTTAAAGAGACGTCCATTCATTATTACGTGGCAACAGCTGCATCAGCTGTCGAGTGTTTTGTCACAGGGCTGTATTTTATAATATCTGTTAGATCAGCTGAACATTGTTCCCCCACATATTTACTTTGAATTCATTGAGAGTGCGGACACACACACACAAATATATTTATATAAATATATACAATTTAAAGTATGAGAGCACTCTCATAATAACGTAACACAATCAGAGACTGTATATATCCCCCCCCCCTCTCTCTCTCTGGTCGCTGAAATGGGGAATTGAAATGACGGGCCAAAAGTTGTATTTACAAGTATTACAAGTAAGCAGAGGACACCAAACCAACTGAGACTCGTCTGATCCGCCGCATCTACGCACTGTACAACCAGACCCGGCGCCAGAACAAATCTAAAGGGAGGGCATATGATTTTCATGGGAGGGCACACAAAACCGTCACGTGCTGCGGGCCTGCGGCACAATATATATCAAACAGCAAGACCAACAGCATTGCGTAAAGACGCACACTTATCGCAAACATACACAAATAAAGGGCAACATAGCAACCACTTTGAAACATTGTGTGCGTGGCAGCACAGATACTGGTAAATCACGAGCAAGGCACACTGGTTACGGATGGCAGCTTCCTCATCGCTGCACTCGGAGAGAAATAGTAGAGACGGAGACGATGAACTGCTTAGCCCGCCTTGGGCATGGTTTATGTTCCTATGCACTGCACTCGGACATGCTGTGGAGTGAATCGAGTCACCTCTGAGAGGGAGTTGGTTGACAGCTAAAAAAGCTATAATATCAACGACAGCTGACACTTAATAACGGCTCCGTGCCAGCTGATCTGCACCAAAGTACTAATTTCCTTATTTGTTTCCTTGCGTATCTGTCTCTCTCTCCACAAACTCACATGAAATGTGTTCTTTTGATGCGGCATGCCTAAGCAGTCTTTTATCAGTCTGTAATGCATGTTTCCAGTCGCAAAAACCTTTGACAGTAAAAGCCGCATCAGATGAAGACGTATTGACTTTAACTGTCTACAGGGGAAACAAAAGGCTGCGTCTGCTTTGAACGAATATTCAAGCCATGGTCTGTTGTGTACCATGCAGCGGCAAAAGTGCGCTTCTTTCCTGAAAACAATCTCCCTGGATAACGATCCAGTTTCACCTGGTTGGGTTTATTAACCCCAAGATCATCGCTAACTCAGCCCCTGGGTTTGCCGAGGTCAAGCTTGTGACATTAAGGCGTGCTGCTGCAACGGCAGGTGCAGGGTCGCCAGCAGCACCATCGGCTGCAGTTCTTTCATCGCTATTTCGTTTTAATACATCCTTAGACCTTTTAAGCCAATTTCTGATGTCCATTTTGCAATTCAAACAGAAATGGGAGTCTACAGAATGCACAATAAACAAATCCAGAATAGGCGGCAGAGTGGGACGCTGTGATTGGTCTAAATGGGGACGAATCACAAATCACAACAGACACATGCATTTATTTGACGTAGCCTGCGATTTTTGTTTTGTTCTGACATCACATACATCGTAGCATAAAAGTTCACAGTTTATTTATAATTAAAAAACTAAAATATATATATATATATTTTTTTATAAATAATAAAAAACGTGTTTATTGGGGGAGGGCAGGAATGTCAAATGGGAGGGCCTGGCCTGGCCCTCCCACGGCGCCGGGTATGTGTACAACACACACCTACACACTGTAGGCTACCACACACACACCTACAGCTCCTAAAGCATAATCAGGCTACAGCCGTTGTGTATTTTATTATGTGAAGCACTAAATGGTTTTAGAAAAATATCGACTCTTTGTTTGTAGATATCTACTAAACTAAAGCAAATAAATAGAGTAGGCCTGTTATGCTGAGTGATATATTATACACACTGCTCTGCTTTCTGCACGGACCTCACAGATGTTCTCTCTGGAAACATCGTGACGCGATGAAAGCAGTTTCTAAAATAATATCCAGGGGATGCATGCAGAGCTGTCATTGGCTGAGATAAGTCCAGCCGTGCGTCACGCCGCCCTCCACCGTTCCCGGAAATGCATCCGCGGAAGAACCATCAGTGTCTCCTCAGTTATAGCTCCTCCAGAGAGCCTCCTCGATGCTCGATGCTCGGTCCTCGGTGTGCATTTAGAGAAATTAGATGTCCTTCAAAATGGCGCGCTGAAATTCATTTCCGGGTCACTACCGGAGGACCGAGGAGTCGAGGAGGGGAAATTTGAAACTCGTGTCTCTTGCTCGCATCTTACGGAGGCGGAGCTAAGACGCAAGGAAGGGAAGCGAGTGAGGGAAAGGAGGAGTCGAGGAGGGGTATTGGGATGAGGCTCGAGAGAAGAAGAAGAAGAAGAAGAAGAAGAAGAAGAAGAAGAAGAAGAAGAAGAAGAAGAAGAAGAAGAAGAAGAAGAAGAAGAAGAAGAAGAAGAAGAAGAAGAAGAAGAAGAAGAAGAAGAAGAAGAAGAAGAAGAAGAAGAAGAAGAAGAAGAAGAAGAAGAAGCCGACTCCGAGCTGTCCGACTTCAGGCGAGCTTTTTGAGACCTCCCCCGGCTGCTATCGGCTATTCTCGTCTACTTTCGAGGCGAGCCGCAACTCGTCTCAAACAAGCCTAAAATCAGTTGAACGTTTCTGTGACTCCGCCCAGCTGCTGCTCTTCTGAGAGGCACAGCTCTATCTACTGGGAAACGCGCTAAAAGTCCTTCTGGAGGTAAGCAACACTACACAATTTCACCAAGTCTGAGAGTAAAAGCTTTCTCGAAGGTTCGTTTTGCTTTCTTACAACGTTAATGTTAACTTAACCTTACGTTTGCTAGGAGGCTAGCTGTCTTAGCTAACAACAGTTTGAAGCTAACGTTTTCTGCAGTTTGTGTTTCCCCTGAAAAACGTGATGTAGTTATTTAAGGGTAAGTTAACTTAACTTTATCTTACAAGTTGAGAGAGTTACGTTTAGTTTAAAATCGTCAATGTAATGCCATTAGAGGTGTTGTGTTGAACATGAAGTTAGCTAACTGTAGCTCTCTACCAAAGGTTAGCATGTTAAGCTGTACTTTCTGTGGCAGCTAGCTTAATACAAAGAGGGTTTTTGTGCTTCATTGTAAACTTTTCTTACAAATGTGTGTTAATCTACCTGGAATTGTCGGGACAGTTTGTTTCTACTCAATGATACAGACCATTGTTGAGGAGATGCAAAACATACTGTAAATGAGTTGGGTCCGACATATACTTTGAGTAATGTTACTTTGCTGCTAAAAAAATGAAACATTATCAGATGAGGACATCACCAAAGTGTGTGAGTCTGTCGGGATTTGATCTGTTCTTTGCATGTCTACAGGGCCTATGTACACACTGCTCTGGTATTAATTAAAAATATAATTGTAAAATGTAAGTCTCGCTCTTGTCATCATTCAGGCTTTGCATTTGAACTCCTATGACTGGTTGCGGACTTGAAGGGAACGACTTCCTGACCTTCCTCACATCCAGGAAAAGGTGAGATTCTAATCCATTTCAATGCCATAAGCAAGTTATTGTTTTGAACTTTTTTAATATGAATTTTTGGGGAATTTCAGTTTTATTGGACAGTAGAGATCTACTGGAAACAGTGGAGAGGGAGGAGATGATATGCAGCAAAAGGCCGAGCCGGATGGTTGCTGCTCCATGTGGAACGTGTTCTATCAGGTAAAGCACTTTGGTACCCAGTTATTTATGGTATTGAGTTTGAATTTAGCCTTTGGAATGTAATTTCCAACTGTGCATTGTAAAGACTGAAAAAACAGGCTCAGGTTAAAGCTTGTCCTCCTGTCTTCTCTTATTTTCTTATCTTTCTTTCAGGTTCAACATCTACCAATGGTTGTACATGACACCACCTCTTTGCTGTCCTACTAGACAACCCTCCTGATCAGAGCCTTTCCTAAATAGTGGTAAGTTGTTTTACAGTTCAGTGTACGTTAATTTAGCAATTAATGCCTTACTGCTGTTGAATAAACCCTATATATATATATATATATATATATATATATATATATATATATATATATATATATACATCCATCAGCAATCAATAAAACAAATCGTACAACACAAAATAGAAGAAATCTGGACCTATTTATTTTTATACCACAGCATCTATTGGGACTGCTCATTGATGTCATCAAGAGCCATTGATGCGGCTTTCACACCAGCGCTTTTCCCTTTCTAGCTCAGAGCGGGAGCTTTTCTGGTTCAGCTCCGGTTTCCCTTTTCAGGGTGTCCGCAGGGTCTTAAAAAGTATTAAAAGTTGATAAATCAATTTAGCGAAAATTAAGGCTATTAAAGTATTCAAAAGTATTAAACGGCATTTTCCAAGATATTAAGAAGGTCCACAGCAACGACAACATGAAACACCCTTTAATTTACTGAAACAACATGTCGGGAAACCCCCTCAAGGTGGCCCCATGCATAGCGTGCCATAAAATGCTGCTTCTTATTTTAAGTTTCGCTGCCTTGCTCCGCTCTGTGGGGGGGGGGGGGTTGGGGTTATCTGCTGGTGGACTACCTGAGAGATGTACAGCAGGAGAACACGCCGTCCACCGCGGAGAATAAACAGAAGGGCAACCATGCTCCGGGGTCTTCTTCGCTGCTTTTGGTGTATTTTGTGGCGGCAGCAGCGCCACTTACAGGCCTGGCATATGTACTACAGCGTTTCCAGCATTTCCAGCGGTCTAGTGTGAACGGACACGTTAATGAATCGAATGCGTGTGAACGGAATACTTTTTTGCGTTTGCGTATGCGTTTTACTGTATGCGTCCTCGTGGGGCCGGGGTCTAAGCCAAACTATATCCGGTCACAGAGATCTGCTATTTTAAAGTAAGGTACATATCGACCCTAAATATAGTCTATATTAAGAACGAGAAAAGTCTTAACATATATATCGTTTTTTGTAAACATATGACAAATGTGTGAGGGTGACGTCAGAGCATCGTCCTATGTGCCGGGCTTACGGCCCGTCTACACTACAGGCATCGAAAAATGCTTTCAATGCTTCGCCCATTCATTTGAATGGGGTGACGTAGAAAATTTTTAAACTTTGCCGAACTGCATTGTGGGGAGCATGGCATGGCTTTGCAAGCATCACGAGCATCTATCGGCATCAAAAGTTGAACAATGTTCAACTTTTGAGGCTCGATGCTTGGCATCAGCCAATCAAATCCCGCGTATGCAAATCTGACAGTACAAGCGCTAGCCAATCAAACCGTGTGTATGCTGGGAGAGACTACGCAGGTCATTTCCTCATATTCAAAAAAATGGAGGGAAAATTCATTATAGCGGTAGTGAATCACCCGGTGCTGTATGATCAGTCTCTGTTCATCTACCGGGATACAAACCGGAGGAGCGAGGCATGGAGGGAGGTGGCAGAGACAGTGGATGGAACTGGTAGGTTTTCGCCTGTTTGGGGATTTTATATCCAGTTTACTTCGTTTTAACATTGCTATTGCTTTGTATGCCGGGGCGGGCGGGAGATTCCTGATTGGTTGTTGGTCGCCTTGGGCGTGAGAAATCACCAAGCCTCAGACACGCCCAGCTTCAAGATTTTTTGATGCCTGTAGTGTAGACGGCCCGTTAGCCCCGGACAGCCCCAGCCCAATTTAACCCCTGGGTATTTGTGAGGGAGCTCCTATATGGCATTACCCCGCTGAAGCTCACCAAAGTTTAATATAGTTCAAAGTTTTGTCAATTGTTTTGTTTATTGGTCAAATACTGGTTTCTAATGGTTTCTAAGGAGTTTTACTGGAATGAAAGAGCACAGAGTACAGAAGCAACAAAGCAGCATACTGCATTAAACCTGACCTTCACAGAGAGGTTGAAGTTCATGTGGAGAGGAGGCTTCAGTAGTCTGTCTGCACTCTGTTTAGTTGTGCTATCTTACAATCAATATAGTAAATGTGAGGTAAAGTGTGTCGCCAATGTAACCGGTTAGAACTCGAAGTTGCGATGAGGTCTTAAAATGTATGGAAAGGGTCTTAAAAAAGGTCTTAAAAGGTATTACATTTGACTTCAGGATTCCTGCATATACCCTGCTTTCCTGCTCCTGCTCTGTTCACACCGCCCAGAGCTGCCGCTGCTGCGTCATGACGTCACCGTTTACGTGCCTGCTTTATTAAATCCAAACCACGCGGAAATCCCTCACATCGACAACAACAACAATGGCCGATTGTATTGAAGCGCTGTTCGCTTTGGCTATCCTCTTACGAAACGATATGGAAGGCATCGGACGACTTTACAAGGGACGACTTTACTTGGAACTTTACAAACATCACATGCGAAATGCAAGACTTCTTTGTGGTCTTCAGCATCTACCTGCCCCCGCCTCGACGTAAGAGAGACGTAAGCGACGCCGCCTCTTAGCTCCGAAGCTCTTGCCTCTAGACCGACAATTTTTTGGAGCTGGAAGTGAACCGGATTCCGGAGCTAAGAGGCGGCGCCTCTGCGGTGTGAACAGGAAAAAACTGTACTTTTCAGGCTCCAGCTCCGAGCCGGAGCTAAAAACGCGTTGGTGTGATAGGGGCATGAGTCTACCTTTTGTAGTCGGCCTCTCAGAATGTTTATCATTTCTTTGTCTCTTAACTTTCCTATAATCATTTGTTTTTTTATTGTTGGTCTTGTTTTGTTCTTTATTTTTATTGTGAGAATCACTTTGCAATTGTGTAAGTGCTATATAAATAGTTATACTAATATTATTGTTGTTACCATCATTACTATTATTAATAATGTCTTCTTTGTTTTCTTTATTTATCGCTATTTACGGCGACATAGCCAGAAAGGCTCGCTTCATGAAAAAACAGAAGAAAATTCAGAACACCTGGACAACAAGTACTGGTCATCAGAAACATGGAGGATCTGGATAAATACCAATAATCTTCATGTTCTGGACCACACATAAGGTAACAAGCACTTACACACAACCATGACTCACACTGAATGGAGGCAATCATCTTCAGTAGGGGAACATTTTAATATGTCTCAGATGATCAAGGAACAAGACCAACTGTTGCTAAAAACATTTGAATACACTGACTATAAAACAAAAGATCTGGATTATGAAATAGACCCAGACAATAATTTCTTCTCTTCTATCATCAACAACTGCTGTTATTACACTGATCAACAGTACAACCAGAGCATATCATCAGAGGGCAAGCTATCTATTATTCACTTCAACAGCAGAAGCATGTATGCAAACTTTAACCTCATCAAGGAATATTTAAATCAGTTTCAACAAACATTTAGCATCATTGCCATATCTGAAACTTGGATCACGGAGGACAAAGGCATAGACTTTGAGCTGGAGGCTATGAACTCAGATACATAAATAGACAAATCAAGGGTGGAGGAGGAGTAGCCTTGTATGTGGACAATACTTTACAATTTAAGGTGATGAATTATATGTCAACAGTGATTGATAATGTATTGGAATTAGGGCTGTCAGTCGATTAAAATATTTAATCGCGATTAATCGCATGATTGTCCATAGTTAATCGCGATTAATCGCAAATTAATCGCACATTTTTTAACTGTTCTAAATGTTCCTTAGAGGAATATTTTTCAAGTTTTTAATACTCTTATCAACATATGAGTGGACAAATATGCTTTATGCAAATGTTTATTATCATTTGAACAATGACTTTTTATTAAACACAACAACCTCTGAACATTACAAATATTCGCATCAATTCAATCTGAAACCTCTCTCATACAATACAAAGTGTGTGTGTGTTAACGCGTTAACTTGACAGCCCTAATTGAAATGTATTACGATTGAAATCTGCAAAGAAAAAACGAAAAATGTAATCATCAGTTGTGTATATATAAAGCACCCGGCTCTAGTATTGAGATTTTCAAGGACTGGATGGAGGAAATATTCTCAAAAGTGATTCATAAAACAGTTTTCATTTGTGGTGACTTCAATATTGACCTTCTAAATCCAAATAATCACAGCATGACAGAAGAATTTATCAACACAATGTACAGTATGAGTTTATATCCAACAATTATTAGACTCAGCAGAATCACATCGCACTGTGCTACTCTCATAGACAATACATTCACAAATGACATAGAAAACAATACAGTAAGTGGACTCTTAATAAATGATATAAGTGACCACCGACCAGTATTTGCAGTTTATGACAGAAACTACAGTAATAACATGCCGGACAATGCTATTCAATACAGACGAGTTAGATCAGAGGAAGCAATGAACGCTTTAAAAAATGCTTTACTGGCACAAAGATGGGACGATTTATACAAAGAAAACAATATTGACAGTGCATATGATCAATTTCTGAGAATTTGTTTATCATTATATAATACATACTGCCCAATTGTCAAATACAGTAGAAAAATGAAATATGTAGAATGTCCATGGATCACAAGGGGTTTACAAAATGCCTGTAAAAAGAAAAATTCATTGTATAGAGATTTCATGCGAAATAAAACAAAAGAGACAGAGATTAGATATAAAAAATATAAAAATAAATTAACAATTATAAGGACCTGCAAAAGTGAATACTATCGGAAAATACTAGACAAAAATAAAAACAACATTAAAGGAATATGGAGCATACTGAATAGTATTATAAAAAATGGGTCTAGAAAAAGGAGTTATCCCACATACTTGATTGACAAGGATAAGGAAGAGGAAAATATGGCTGTTGTATCCAACAGTTTCAATGATTTCTTTGTAAATGTTGGACCTGAATTAGCAGGCAAAATCCCTGATGGAGGAACATCAGAAAAAAAGCTTTCTCAATGTTCCTCACAGCAGTGGATGAAAGGGAAGTAGTTGATATTGTAACGAAATGTAAAAACAAAAAATCTACCGATTGTGATGACATTGACATGACTGTATTAAAAAAGGTTATAGATGTTATTTCAAAACCATTCACACACATATGTAACTTATCATTCCAAACTGGTGCATTTCCTAACAAAATGAAAATAGCAAAAGTCATACCTTTGTTCAAAGCTGGGAACAAACATCACTTCACAAACTATAGACCTGTCTCACTTCTACCACAATTCTCAAAAATTCTTGAAAAGCTTTTCAATAACAGACTGGACAATTTCATAGAAAAACACAAACTTCTCACCGAAAGTCAATACGGATTCAGAGCCAATAGATCAACATGGATGGCTTTAATAGACTCACTTGAAGAAATTACTAGCTCAATTGACCAAAAGAAACATGCCATTGGAATATTCATTGACCTAAAAAAAGCATTTGACACAATTAATCATGACATATTAATAAAGAAACTGGAACGTTATGGAATCAGGGGTGTAGTTTTGGAATGGGTAAGGAGTTATTTAACCAACAGGCAACAGTTTGTGAAGCTGGGAGAGTGTTGTTCTTCATATTTGGACATTACATGCGGTGTCCCCCAGGGGTCAGTATTGGGGCCGATACTATTTATTATGTATATTAATGAAATATGCAATGTATCGACAGTACTCAAGTTTGTTTTGTTTGCTGATGACACTAATATATTTTGTTCTGGCGACAATGTACAGCTACTATTGGAAGAGATCACAGCTGAAATATGCAAACTAAAGTTATGGCTAAACAGTAATAAGTTATCATTAAACTTGAATAAAACAACATTAATCATATTTGGAAATAGCAATACACTAGCATCCATTAAGATAGATGGGATTTTCATTGAGAGAGTTAAAGAACATCAATTCCTTGGAATCACAATTGATGAGAAACTGAGCTGGAAACCACACCACACATACAACATATTCATTCCAAAGTCTCAAGAAGTATTGCAATATTAAACAAGGCAAAACAGATTCTTGATCAAAATTCCCTCTACATTCTTTACTGTTCATTGGTGTTACATTATTTAAGTTACTGTGCAGAGGTTTGGGGCAGTAATTATAAAACTACAACACAATCCCTATTTATTCTACAAAAAAGAGCAATAAGACTTATTAAAAATGTCGGCTATAGGGATCATACAAACCAGGGCTCGACATTAAGGACTGCCCGATGGCCCGGGGCCATCTAGTATTTAGCTCGGGCAATGAAGCCTCACCTGCTGGTTGCCCGATCGGGCAATCTATTATGCCAGTATCATGCAGCTCGCGGATCCAGTAATGAGAGACCCGACAGTAAAACTAAACTTATCTATAACTAGTGTAGGTAGTTTGAGAGGTAATTAAAATAGCTACGTGTGATATTCTAAACTAAAGTGTGTGTTTTGTCCGCTCACCGCTGCATGTGATCATGCAGAGCTGCGTGTCGACTCGTCAGCAGCAGCTGATCTCTCTCTCCCGTCAGATTAGACTTCACTCGCGTTTATGTCCATATCGATCAGATCCAGCTAGTTCTAGCTAATGATATGACTACCTGCTTATTAAAAGACACCTAAACAATAAGTGTCGCTATGCAACCGGATGAGGCCACAAAGTATAGCGCAGCATTATGCATTTGTTTACATGCCCACCGGAACCCCGAGGCATTACCAACAGATCAACGCACAATCAACCCATACAGGACATCTCTTTCTCCACATTAAGTGTTAGACATTAGAATTGACTATTCTTGTCTGTCACATACTCTTCTTGTCTGTCACATAAGTGGCGCAACTGAAGCGGTATTGCGCTAAAGGGAAATTATTTTGACCGAAGATATTTAGATTTGCCGGCTAACGGGAACTCTGACGTCGCCATTTTGTGTGCTTCGCGGATGCGCTCGGCTCCTCTCGACTGCTGCTCGGGTCTGCTCGGTCAGCTTCCGGATGAGGAGGCATTCGTTCGACCAATTTAGATAACATTACAAACATTTTTAACAGGGGCCATAATAGTGTAAATAATGTTTGTTTTGGCAGTTATAACTGAATGTAATGTTTTCTACTTTTTTTACATCTGGGAAGGTATTTGCCTTCATCAGATGGAAAGTGTCTTGACCAACAACTTAAGTATTTCTTAAAGCTATGCAGGGCATGCAAGCGAGCAAACACAAACAAGAACAAACAAACAAGTGAAATTAAAAATAAAATTGAAATTGTACAATATAATATTGTGGTGGTTCATCTTATAATTCAGTCTAGAGAATGCACCAGACAGCATCTAAGACCTGTAACAATCTAAATGTTCTAGGGGGAGGCCCCCCAAACCCTTTGTGCGTCATTTTGTCCGCGCGCATTTTTCAGGGCAATCTCTATTGGGCTCAGGGCCATCTGTAAATTAGCTTAGATGGCCCACAGGGCCATCTCCCAAAATCCTTAATGTCATGCACTGCAAACCCATTATTCTTAGAGCTAAAATGATTAAAACTGTCAGATCTTGTTGAATTCCAAATTGCACAAATCATGTTTAAGGCAAAAAACTTTCAATTACCTGGGAATATTCAGATATTGTTCAATGAAAGACAAGGGAATTATTATTTACGTGGTTCATTTATATTCACTAATGTTATGGTGCGCACAACAAAGAGAAGTTTTTGTGTTTCTGTTTGTGGAGTGAAGATCTGGAACAATTTGAGTGAGGAGCTAAAGGGATGTCCAAACATCAAACTATTCAAAAAGAGGTATAAAGACACAATTCTCACAAGGTGCAGGGATGAAACTGCTAAACCATAACTGTTTCTATTCTTGTTTTGTATTCTATTTATGAATTTGTGTTTGTATGAATTTGTGTATGTACCAGGGTTTCCGCTAGGATTTTTTCTCGCCGGTCAAATGTCCGGACAGAATTTATTTTACCGGACAAATTTGAAACTTACCGGTCATGTTTCAATAATAATAATAAGAATTGTGTAGCAGAGTTTCCGTTAGCAGGTAATTACCGGATTAGGACCGGATATGCTGATGTTTAAAACTCAGTTAATGGGAGTCATTTTTATATTGCTTCAGTTTATAATCGTAACAGATCGGAAAAATTCAGATTCATTTTTCAATAAATGATTCCACAAACAACATAATTATTACATTCAAATAAACTACTTTTAGTAGATGAAGTACATTATTCAAAAGTTTACATTAACTTTGAATAATAACACGGGAGAAACGGATCCTCTCTTTTCCTCTCTCCCTCCCTCTCTCTCCTGACAGCCCGTCAGTTTCTCATGCAGCTCACTAAACAGTGGACGGGGCTTCAGGTGATTATGCAGCAGCTGATCTGATCTCTCTCTCGTGTCCGGTTACACTTCACTCGCGTTTATGTCCATATCGATCAGATCCAGCTCTCCTGATCGGCCTTTATAGAGAGCACAGATCAAATTATTAAGAGTGAATATCGGCCGATAATGATCGGCGGCCAATCGATAGGAGCATCGGACATTTTGACCGGCAGGTTTTGAATTTACCGGTTTTTATTAAATTTTACCAGCTAAAAACCGGTAATTACCGGCTAACGGAAACCCTGGTATGTACATATGTGTGTATGTGTGTATATGTATGTATATATATATATATATATATATATATATATGAGACCATTCTCCTAACTTGCCTGTATATATTATATGAATGATTATATAAATTATTCAAGGTTAAAGTATACATTGATATTGTCGGATTAAATAAGTGTAAACTTCTTCCGACCCCTTTTCGGACGTGTAATTAGCTAAAGTTTTGTTGTTTATTGATATCAGACAATGATACTACAGATTATTCAATTATTAATTAAATATTTCGTTTTGTTATTGCATTCATTTGTATAGTACTGTATCATGTCTGTATCATCTTTTGTTTCATTTGTATTTTCTTTGGTTTTACACGCTCGAAAAAAATAAATAAACTAAACTAAGCTGCAGAAAGGATCATGCAACACTTTTTTTTTTGCTCGCATTTTTCATGAGATGAACTCAAAGATCTAAAACATTTTCTATATACACAAAATAACCATTTCTCTCAAATATTGTTCACAAATCTGAAAAAATCTGTGATAGTGAGCACTTCTCCTTTGCCGAGATAATACATCCCACCTCACAGGTGTGGCATATCAAGATGCTGATTAGACAGCATGATTATTGCACAGGTGTGCCTTAGGCTGGCCACAATAAAAGGCCACTCTAAAATGTTCAGTTTTATCACACAGCACAATGCCACAGATGTCGCAAGTTTTGAGGGAGCGTGCAATTGGCATGCTGACAGCAGGAATGTCCACCAGAGCTGTTGCCCGTGAATTTAATGTTCATTTCTCTACCATAAGCCGTCTCCAAAGGCGTTTCAGAGAATTTGGCAGTACATCCAACCGGCCTCACAACCGCAGACCACGTGTAACCACACCAGCCCAGGACCTCCACATCCAGCATGTTCACCTCCAAGATCGTCTGAGACCAGCCACTCGGACAGCTGCTGCAACAATCGGTTTGCATAACCAAAGAATTTCTGCACAAACTGTCAGAAACCGTCTCAGGGAAGCTCATCTGCATGCTCGTCATCCTCATCGGGGACTCGACCTGACTCCGGTTCGTCGTCGTAACTGACTTGAGTGGGCAAATGCTCACATTCGATGGCGTCTGGCACGTTGGAGAGGTGTTCTCTTCACGGATGAATCCCGGTTTTCACTGTTCAGGGCAGATGGCAGACAGCGTGTGTGGCGTCGTGTGGGTGAGCGGTTTTCTGATGTCAATGTTGTGAATCGAGTGGCCCATGGTGGTGGTGGGGTTATGGTATGGGCAGGCGTATGTTATGGACGACGAACACAGGTGCATTTTATTGATGGCATTGTGAATGCACAGAGATACCGTGACGAGATCCTGAGGCCCATTGTTGTGCCATTCATCCACGACCATCACCTCATGTTGCAGCATGATAATGCACGGCCCCATGTTGCAAGGATCTGTACACAATTCCTGGAGGCTGAAAACATCCCAGTTCTTGCATGGCCAGCATACTCACCGGACATGTCACCCATTGAGCATGTTTGGGATGCTCTGGATCGGCGTATACGACAGCGTGTTCCAGTTCCTGCCAATATCCAGCAACTTCGCACAGCCATTGAAGAGGAGTGGACCAACATTCCACAGGCCACAATCAACAACCTGATCAACTCTATGCGAAGGAGATGTGTTGCACTGCGTGAGGCAAATGGTGGTGTGACGACCCCTGCCTCACTATCTCTGGTGGTGGGTATGCGTGTGTGTGGCCCTTTAATGACTCTCCCTCTGTGTGTGCTCACGGGAATTGAGGACACCTGGCGGCTGGAGCTAGCCGGATAAAGGACTGGACCGGATCTCGCTCTCTCTCTCTCTCTGGCAGGAGGACGCAACGTGAAGAGCAGTCACGACCAGCTGACCTTTTGTTTCGCCTGTTTGTGTCCTTCAGCAGCAGCCAAATAAACTCTTTTTTTTCTATTCACGCTCTCGTTTCTGTCGCGCGTTTGTTGTGGCTGAGAGCCAAGCCATGACAGCTGGGGGCTCGTCCATTCCGGTAAGGTAAGCTGGTGTTGGGAGTTAGTTCATGATTTGTGCGGAGTTTCCCCTGGTAGGTTATAGCGACGGTTCCCTTGGGATCGTTGGGCAGGGTGTTTAATGTTGTGGTGAAAGTGGCTGAAGCCTCGGCTTGGGGGCATGGCCGCGGTCGCAGTATTGTTGCTAGCTTGCTAGTCGCTTTGCTGGGCCAGCGGTCTCCAGTGCATAAGTACCCGCCGCAAGTAACTACATGAAGACTAGGGAGGAGATTAGTTAGTGGGTGCCGCAGTTAGTGGGGAAACTCCAATCATTTATTTTTGCTTTTCGTCTCAGTGTAAGCTCCGGTGTTGTGTGATAGTATGGCGGATGTAGACGCATTTATCAGGGCTCCATCTCAGGAAGCCCTTGACAATTTCTCAATGGAGCAGCTGCTCGTTATTGCTGAACATTTCTCGGTTGAAATCGTCGGCGATAAGAGGCTAAAAAGCACTATAAAAGACTCTATTGTGACGGCATTAGGTGAAACGGGAGTGTTTCCGGCAGAGAAAAGAGGTGTGTTGTTAAAACCACTGTTGCAGGCTAGTTCACTGTCCTTTGAGCAGCAGAAGGAGATGTTATTGTTGCAGCTGAATCATGACAAAATGAGGCATGAGATGGAGGTTGAAAAGGAAATTGCAGTGGAGCGGATGCGGCAGTAGACTGAGAGAGCCAAACTGGATATGGAAGGGCAACGTCTTTCTATGGTCAGAGATGGTGCGGCGTTGGGTGAGCAGTACGGTGAACAGGTGCCCAGGTCCCATCATCGGTTCGATGCTAACAACTTGCGCTTGTTACCGCAATTTAATGAAAGTGATCCTGACACTTTTTTTTTGCTTTTTGAACGGGTAGCTAAGGCTATGGATTGGCTGGATGCAGACTGTGCCCTGATGCTTCAGTGTGTGCTCACAGGAAAAGCACAGTCTGCATATTCCGCGTTATGTCTGGAGGATAGCTCTAGCTATGTTAAAATAAAATTGGCGGTGCTTAGAGCATATGAACTCGTTCCTGAGGCTTATCGACAGCGTTTTAGGTCCTTGGAGAAAAAACAGGGTCAAACATATGTGGAAATGGCGAGGGATTTGTCGGTTCATTTTAAACGTTGGTTAGCTGCTCTGGACATCACTTCTTTTGACAATTTGGGTGAACTCATGATTTTGGAACAGTTCAAAAACATTCTTCCTGACAACATTGCTACTTATATAATAGAACACAGGGTTACTTCGGTGTCCGAAGCTGCGGTGGCAGCGGATGAGTTTGTGTTACTTCATAAGGGCAGGTTCGGAGGGCGCGCTGGAGCTCTACCCGTTTTTGAAGGAAGTAGAAGGGCTGTTGATGTTGGTTCATTGGGGATGGATCCAAAGAAAGTGGCTTGGGAAAAATCTGAGGATACTTGTAACTATTGTCGTGAGAAAGGCCATTGGAAACCAGAATGTCCGGCGCTTAGAGCAAAATCCAAGGTAGGAAGATTTGTGGGTAAACCAGTTGCATTAGCTGTTCCTGTGAAAAGCTGCTGTGTTAACGAGGTGCTTACGGACCACTTATGGGGATCAGAGGTTTTGGTGTCCTATGATCCTTTTATAAGAGAGGGCTTGGTGTCATTGGTAGGTAGCAATGTCAGAGTTCCAATTAAAATTTCGAGGGATACCGGTGCATTTGACTCCTTTATCGTTGACTCTGTTCTGCCTTTGTCTGAGGAAAGTGACACTGGTGACACGAGTCGGGGGATGGGATTAACGGTTTTCCCTGTTCCTGTTCATAAGATGTATCTTGACTGTGACCTTGTTAACGGTATTGCTATTGGTGTACGCCCAGCTTTTCCAATCAAGGGGATACATTTCATTCTGGGTAACGGTTTGGCAGGTGGTAGAGTCTGGGCTGATGTTCCCTCTGTGTTGTTAGTCACTGGTGGTCTGATTGAGTCAGGATCTGAGAAGTGCTCTACAGTGATGCCAGACGTCACAGCCTCGTGTGTGATCACACGTGCTAGGGCGAAAAGGGATCATGACTTGCTACCAGATGGAAAGTCAACTGACACAGTGGAGGTTCCATCTTTGTCTGAGTTTTCGGTATTACTTACACACCATGAGGTGGGAGAGGAGCAACGTCAGGATTCTTCGTTGAAAGACCTTTTTGACTGTGTTGCGCCAGTTGCACAGGGGGAAAACACTTCAAGTGGATACATGTTGCATAATGACTTGTTGTTTAGAAGATGGGTTCCTGTGGCTGTTGATGGTGGGGGAACTGAGGTTTTCCAGCTGGTGGTGCCAACTAAGTTTCGTCCTCTGGTCCTGAAAGTCGCACATGATGAGTGTGGACACTTTGGGGTTCGGAAAACATATTTGAACATCCTGAGACACTACTTTTGGCCACGTCTAAAGAGAGATGTGTCGCAGTATATTAGAACATGTCATGTGTGTCAACTAACAGGGAAACCAAACCAGAAGATCAAACCAGCACCACTACAGCCGATACAAGTGGTAAGTGAACCGTTTACACATCTCATTGTGGATTGTGTGGGCCCTTTACCGGGTTCAAAATCTGGTTGCAAATATCTGCTGACTGTGATGTGTCAAACCACTAGGTATCCAGCGGCTTATCCTTTGAGGTCGATTACAACTAAGGCTGTGGTTAAGGCTTTGTCACAGTTTATTTCAATATTTGGTATTCCTAAGGTCGTCCAGAGTGATCAAGGCTCCAATTTTTCATCTCACATGTTTGCTCAGGTGTTGAAGCTTTTGAAGATTAAGAAGAACCAGTCAACAGCTTACCACGCTCAAAGCCAGGGTGCCTTGGAAAGGTTTCACCAGACATTGAAATCCTTGTTGCGTGCTTACTGTACTGAGCTAGATGGAGACTGGGAGGAAGGTCTTCCTTGGTTGATGTTGGCTGCAAGGGAGGCGGTACATGAAGGTACGGGGTTTAGCCCTAATGAGTTGGTTTTCGGACATGCTGTACGGGGTCCCTTGGCAGTGCTGAAAGAGGGTTGTGTTGACACTGAGCCACCACGGAGCTTGGTGGATTATGTGAATGGCTTCAGACGTCGTTTGGGTGTTGCTTTGAGTATGGCACGGGAAAAGCTGTCGGTGTCTCAAAGTAACATGAAGAAGTTCTATGACCGTTGTTCGGCACGACAGGAGTTTAATCCAGGTCACCAGGTTCTATCACTTATGCCTATTGTTGGTTCCCCATTTCAGGCTAAGTATTCAGGTCCGTACACTATCATTGAGAAAACTTCTGACCTAAATTATGTTGTGGCAACACCAGAACGAAGGAAGACCAAACGCCTCTGTCATGTAAATCTTCTGAAACCCTACCACAAGCGGGAGGTTAACACAGACACAGAGGTGGAGAAGGATAAAGTGCAGCCGGCTGTGGTGGTGGTGGTGACACATGGTTTGACGCATGAGGGAAATATAGTGCCCGAACCTGATGATAGTTTGCTCTGTGGTCGTTTGAGAAATTCGGAATCGCTAGATAATTTAGACGGGTTGTTGTCTCATTTGGCGGCATCAAGACGTGAGGAATTATCAGCATTGGTACACAAATATCGGTGTCTGTTTGGAGACACTCCTTCGCAAACTGACTGGGCTGAGCATGATATTGATGTTGGGGACGCTCAGCCGATTAAGCAACATTTTTATCGCATGCCACCAGTTAAGCGCAGTCGGTTGGATGCAGAGATTAATTACATGGTGGAGAATACAATTGCTGTCCCATCAGCATCTAGTTGGGCGTCTCCATGTATTTTGGTGCCAAAGCAGGATGGGACACCTAGATTCTGTACTGATCTAAGAAAAGTGAATGCGGTGACAAAATCAGACTCTTTTCCTTTGCCACGGATGGATGACTGTATAGATCAGGTGGGGTCTGCAAAGTATGTTAGCAAATTTGATTTGCTTAAAGGGTATTGGCAGGTCCCCTTGTCTAAGCGGGCACAGGAAATAGCAGCATTTATCACACCATCTGGACTTTATTCATATAAGGTAATGCCGTTTGGGTTAAAAAATGCTCCTGCTACATTCCAACGTTTGATGAATCGCGTGGTGTCGGGTTTAGAGGGCTGTACGGTGTATCTAGACGATTTGGTAATTTGCAGTGATACTTGGACGGCTCATGTTCAGCGCATCGAGAGGTTGTTTGAACGGTTGACAGAGGCACATCTGACTATTAATTTGGCCAAATGTGCCTTTGCAAAGGCCACAGTGACATACCTTGGTCATGTGGTGGGTCAGGGTTGTGTGGCTCCAGTTCTGGCCAAGGTCAGGGCAATATCTGAATACCCACAGCCCACAACCAAAAAGGAACTCCAGAGATTTTTGGGTATGGTGGGTTACTACAGGAGGTTCTGTGAAAATGTTTCCACTACAGTGTTTCCTCTGACGGAACTTCTTAGGGCTAAGGTAAAATATACTTGGTCGGTCGACTGTCAGAGAGCGTTTGATAGTGTTAAGTCTCTATTGTGCTCCTCTCAGGCGTTAGTGGCTCCATGTTTTGATCGTCCTTTTAGTCTCCAAGTAGATGCAAGCCAGGTGGGAGTCGGTGCGGTTCTGCTCCAGGTTGACAAGGGGGGGGGGGTGGAGAGACCCGTCAGTTTCTTTTCAAAGAAACTTAACAGTTACCAAAGGAATTATACGGTGATTGAGAAGGAAGCGTTAGCACTCATTTGGGCGTTGCAGCATTTCACTGTATATGTGGGAGCAGGAGGACTAATTTTGGTTTACACAGATCACAATCCCCTGACCTTTTTGCATTCAATGAAGTGTCCCAACCAAAGGCTGACGAGGTGGTCTTTGTTTCTTCAGGCTTACAACCTTGAAGTTAGGCACATTAGGGGATCCGACAATGTTATTGCTGACGCGCTGTCACGTGCTCCATGGCACTAAGTAGTTGTTAGTTTGACCTTGATGTGTATATATAGGGACTGTCATACTGTGATAAATCTTTCTCGCTCTGCCCATGTTTTTTAAAGTGCTTCTCAGATACTGGTGTTGCTAAAGGTGTGGCAGGGTGCTGAAGGCGAGGATTGCTGTGTGAAGGTGGTGTATTTCATTGGGGTTCTGGGGGAGTGCCATATGTGTGGTTTTGTTTTCCATGACTTTTTCCTTTTTGTTTGGGATGGGGTTGGTGTGTGGTGCCGGTGGCCCTGGGGACACCGACTTTAAGGGGGGGGGTGTGACGACCCCTGCCTCACTATCTCTGGTGGTGGGTATGCGTGTGTGTGGCCCTTTAATGACTCTCCCTCTGTGTGTGCTCACGGGAATTGAGGACACCTGGCGGCTGGAGCTAGCCGGATAAAGGACTGGACCGGATCTCGCTCTCTCTCTCTCTCTGGCAGGAGGACGCAACGTGAAGAGCAGTCACGACCAGCTGACCTTTTGTTTCGCCTGTTTGTGTCCTTCAGCAGCAGCCAAATAAACTCTTTTTTTTCTATTCACGCTCTCGTTTCTGTCGCGCGTTTGTTGTGGCTGAGAGCCAAGCCATGACAGCGGTCACACCAGATACTGACTGGTTTTCGGAGACCCCAGACCCCCCCAATAAAGCAAAACTGCACGTTTCAGAGTGGCCTTTTATTGTGGCCAGCCTAAGGCACACCTGTGCAATAATCATGCTGTCTAATCAGCATCTTGATATGCCACACCTGTGAGGTGGGATGGATTATCTCGGCAAAGGAGAAGTGCTCACTATCACAGATTTTTTCAGATTTGTGAACAATATTTGAGAGAAATGGTTATTTTGTGTATATAGAAAATGTTTTAGATCTTTGAGTTCATCTCATGAAAAATGGGAGCAAAAACAAAAGTGTTGCATTTATATTTTTGTTCAGTGTAGGTTATATAATATGCGGTTGAATTTTAAAATTAAATTATTTCCGGTGCAGAGACAAACACTCGAGGTGGATGTATAAAATACATACTGGTGTTAATAAAATATAGCGTGTATCCCTCAATTTATCAACAATAAGAATGACAATACATACTTCCTGGTGTAAAGTAATATATCTATCATACTGTAGATCCTACACATCCACTGGAGGTAGATTCTGAAAGTAAAATATACACTTCTCACTAGAAATGTAATCATAAAGCATTATTATGGCCAAACTATCCTACAATTTAGGATTTTGCACTGAAAAAAGTGTTGGATTCAAGATTCAAATGTTTTATTCTCATATGCTCAGCAGCTACAGTGTAGAAATGTCAATGAAATTCTTCTGACCTGAGCTCCACCAACAATGCAACATATATAATAAAATACAACGTAAGAAGTAGTGCAAACGTTTATATACATGTAATATAATATATTTACAAGAACAGAATATGAAATTAAATAATGTAAATTAAGAAAAAAATTAAATACGGTTTATTGCGTGGATAATAGACCTAATCACAGTGAATGTTCAAAACAAAAATGTGATAATTTTTTCTTTTTCACCTCACAGCGCACATATTTAAGTAATCATAACACAAAGCTAAAAGTTAATCTGTTTTTCCTTTCTCTTTTCAAGAGTGCTTCAGAGGATGGCTGAATTCACAAAACGTGGAGAAGACCGAGAGGGAGAAGTTACTACATTTCACAAAAAATACAGGACCTTGTGAAAAACGGAAAGAAACAATTGAAGGAAACTGCTTAAAAATATGAAGTAATGGGTGTTTTGAAAATGTTTTCAAATTTGTGTTCATGTTCATTGTGTGTTATAAATTATTTTCCTGCTTCTAATCATTTGATGTATGAGTATTTATTTACAGACATTCTATACATTCTGGTACCTTTCTGGTAAGGTAGGTGCTCTGATCTGAAATGATAGATGTTCATTGAGCTACTGCAATTGGGTGAGAGTGTTTCATCATCATATATGACCAGCTTAACCATCAAGTAACCCCAGTTAAAGTTCTACTCAAGATCATACCAGTCTGACCAGCAAATGGTGACCAGCTAGAACACTGTGACCACCAGATTTTACCAGCTAAACCAGCTATCCCGACCAGCTAATGTTGACCAGCTAGACCACTGTGACCACCAGCTTTTACCAGCCATCCCGACCAGCCAATGGTAACCAGCTAGACCACTGTGACCAAACCAGCTATCCTGACCAGCTAGACCACTGTGACCACCAGCTTTTACCAGCCATCCCGACCAGCTAATGGTAACCAGCTAGACCACTGTGACCAAACCAGCTATCCTGACCAGCTAGACTACTGTGACCACCAGCTTTTACCAGCTAAACCAGCTATCCCGACCAGCTAATAGTGACCAGCTAGACCACTGTGACCAAACCAGCTATCCTCACGCAGCGTTTACTGAGGGGACGCTGACGTGTTTTTCGGCTTCTGCGTCGTCCCCGCTACATACACCGGGCATCCAGATGCAAGTTTTTCTACTCCGAAACTCCTATCCCCGCAGTTGATTCTGACAGACGGTCTGTCGCACGGCGATGTCCTCATCACAACAAACGACGTCATCTGACCAAACCTCCCGTTCGCTCTATCTACCTGAGGTACCTGGCCTGTGCTGACAGTGTGCTGGTTTCTCCCTCCCTGTTCCCCCCCAGCAGCTATGAACAATTATGTGAAATTTATGCTGCAGAATACCCGCTCCCTCAACAACAAAGCACTACTCATCCACGACATTATCACTGACAGAAGCATTGACATCCTATGCTTACACTCAATCAAGCTACACCCCCAGGCTATTTATACATCCAGAAGCCCCGCTCCCTGGGTCGTGGCAGTGGATTGGCTGTTATCCACCGAGCTGGCATCCTGATTAAAGAACTCCCAGTACCTACTACCATCTAATTTGAGTGTGTTGTCTTCAAACTGGCTGGGTCTGCTCCGCTCCAGGTTGCCCTCATTTACCGCCCACCTAAAGCTTCCACTACCTTCCTGTCTGAGCTGTCTGAGTTACTCACCTCTCTTTGCTCCATGTCTCCATCAACTCTCCTGCTCGGTGATTTTAACATCCACGTGGACTCCAGTAACTGCACATTCGCTGCTGAATTCCTCTCACTTTTGGACTGCTTCAGCATCAAGCAACATGTCCAGGGCCCCACCCACATCAAAAGCCATCCTCTTCACTGTTCCGGTCTCCCTGCCCAGGTAGCATCCTAAACGCACCATTATGTTTAGGAACATCAAGACTGTGAGTGCACCGGCCCTATCCGACCTGATAGCTACCCACATGGCCTCGGGTCCCTCCGACTCCACCGTGGACGGCCTGGTAGCCCACTACAACACTGCCCTATCCCTCAGTCTCAACTCTCTCGCCCCCATTAAAACCCGGACTGTTTCCTTCACCCGCCCTGCCCCCTGGTTCACCACCGAACTCTGCCATTTGAAGGCCTCTGGTCGCCAGCTGGAGAGGCTCTCCAAAAAAACTGGCCTCACAGTCCACCTCCTGGCCTTTCGTGACCATGTCAAAACGTATAAGGAAGCTCTCTCCCATGCCAAGACTCACTACTACTCTCGTCTCATTGGTGCCCAGCAAAGCAACCCCAGAAGACTGTTCTCCACCATCAACCGCCTACTACGGCCCCCTGACGCCCCCCAGCCCTCAGGTGCTCCCGATCTGTGCTCCAAATTCCTCGACTTCTTCCAGGCGAAAGTCGAGGCCATCCATCAGCAGCTCCTGGTGACTGGCCCTCCCCCCTTACCTGCACCTCAGCCACCTGGTAACGCACCCCAAGCGCTGCGCATCTCCCACTCCAACCTCTCCTCCTTCTCCCCTGTGGATTTTCTCCAAGTGGCCAAACTGGTCAGCTCGGCCAAGACCTCCACCTGCTCCCTGGACCCCATGCCCACAATCCTGGTCAAGGACTGCCTACCCACCCTCTATCCCTACATGGTGGTCATCATCAACGCTTCTCTGGCTCCTGGTATAGTCCCCACCATCTTCAAAATGGCCTCAGTCACCCCCATACTCAAAAAACCTGGCCTGGACCCCGACGACCTCCAGAACCACCGGCCGATCTCCAACCTTCCCTTCCTCAGCAAAACTCTGGAAAGAGTGGTCGCCGGCCAACTCCATCTGTACATGTCCAACCATGAGCTCTATGAGCCCTTCCAATCCGGCTTCAGACAGCAACACAGCACTGAGACCGCCCTCATCAAGATCACCAACGATCTCCTCATTGCTGCTGACTCTGGCCACCTCAGCATCCTCATCCTCCTGGACCTCTTTGCAGCGTTTGACACCATCTCTCACAACATCCTCCTCACCCGCCTCTCAGACCTCCTAGGTGTCACTGGCACAGCGCTGTCCTGGTTGACATCCTACCTCCACAACAGGAAACAGTTTGTCTCCATCAGTGGCTCAAACTCAGCCCCGGCCCCAGTCCACCACGGTGGACTGCTTGGCCCCCTCCTGTTCACCATTTACATGCTCCCCCTCGGCCAGATCATCCGACATCATGGACTCAATTTCCACTGCTACGCTGATGATACCCAACTGTATCTCAGCACCACTCCATCCTCCCAGTTCCCCCCTCAGTCTCTCATCAACTGCCTGCATGACATCAAAACATGGATGTCTTCCAACTATCTTAAGCTGAATAGCAATAAAACAGAGCTCATGGTTGTGGCACCCAAGGCCCTGTTCCAGAAGGTTGGTGACTTCGTCCTCGAGGTCGACGGCTGCTCCATCTCCCCATCTCCTGAAGCCCGCAACCTGGGTGTCATCCTCGACTCCACCCTTTCCTTCCATTCCCACGTCAAATCTGTGACCAAATCGGCCTTTTACCACCTAAGGAGCATTGCCAGACTCCGACCGTCACTCTCGGAGTCGGTTGCCGAAACCCTAGTGCATGCGTTTGTCACCACCCGCTTGGACTACTGCAATGGTGTCCTGTTCGGGGTTCCCAACAAAACCCCGGACAGGCTCCAGTATGTCCAAAACTGTGCTGCTAGGATACTCACACACACAAAGCCGTGGCAGCATATCACTCCCACCCTCATCCACCTACACTGGTTGCCGGTCAAGTCCCGCATATCTTACAAAGTCCTCCTCCTTACCTACAAGTCCCTCCATGCCCTTGTCCCCCAGTACCTATCGGACATCCTTCACCCACATGCCCCACCCCGGAACCTGTGGTCCTCAGACTCTGGCCTGCTTACCACCCCCCGCACCAAACTGCGAACCTTCGGGGACAGAGCCTTCAGTGTGGCAGCCCCCACCCTCTGGAACGCTCTCCCTGCGGAGATTCGCAACATCCCCACACTCGACGCCTTCAAAAGGGCCCTCAAGTCCCATCTGTTTGCCAAGGCTTTCGGCCCCTAAATCGATCTGTTGTTCTGTCTGTCTGACTTTTGTTTTGTTATGTTTGTTTTTGCCCTATTACTTGTAAAGCGACCTTGGGTCCCTTGAAAGGCGCTATATAAATCCAAGCTATTATTATTATTATTATCCTGACCAGCTAAAGTGTCCAAAACCCCTCTTAACCAGCCAACTAATCCAGCCTAATATTTTTACTTTAAGCCAGCCTGACCAGCCTTGTTGGTCTAAGCTGTTTTTTTCAGCAGGGCTCGCTCTCAAGTCTGCGGGCGTCTTTGTCCCACGAGATTTCAACGTCTCATGTAGGCGAGCCTCCAGAGCAAGTCTGGACAAAATGACTAACCAACCATCATGCAACGTACTAGCAAGACCAGTGGCGGTTCTAGACCAATTTGACTGGGGGGGCCAGGCTGGGGCCAGTTATGTTCTGAGGGGGGCACAATAAATGCAGGACGAAAAAGACAAAGACAGTATGAAGTAATTGCGCATACACCTAAGAAAACAATGCAATACAGTTATTGGTATTTGTTTCATTACACATTATTATATGCTTACCTTTGTGTGCTGTTTGGGTCTGTGGGACCCGTTTTAAGTGTTTACTAAAAGAAAATGTATGCAATTTCATTATTTTAACCTGTTTTTTTCGGGGGTGGACCTCACATCCTCTAGGGGGGTCCGGGGGCATGCACCCCCGGGAAGATTTTTTTTTTTAATTGTTGAAGTTACATGCATCAATCTGGTGCACTTTGAGCACAAAATGAATTTATGGATACAGCTCTCAACACTAATATGAAAGGGAGCTGTATACTTTTCAATAATCCAAACATCTTTAGAATATGATCACAACCAATAACATATCATTTAAACTAGTTTATTCTTATTGTAAAGTCAAACAGAGCCTAAGGCTTTAATAAACATAAAATAAAAAACAGACAAGTGGTCGAATATTAATAGATATGGATACATAGAATAACAAAATATCTTAACTTTATTCAGAATTTAAATCATAAACACTACAAATATGTTTCATTTAAAGACAAACCACCAATTAATAGGATAGACAACAGGTGTAATGATCGCAGGCAGTCCTGCCTCCTCTGGCAAGCTGGGTGTAATCACCCTAATTACAGAGCCCAGTGCTGCATCCTCAAGGAGGGTTTAAATAGCAGCTGTGTGCGATCCTAGTAGACGGAAGCGTGTAGACGGGAGGCACTTCTACCGAGTCAGGACAGGCAGCCGGTAAGATCATATCCATCATGCTGTGAGAGCTCCGCAGAGCCGCTGGTGAACGTTCTGTTGAATTGTTTGCGTGTATGCATGTGTCTTGTTAGAGGGCGAGCGGCGCTGCGCAGCATTGTTTGTGTGGTTTCAATGTGCGGCACACCAAGAGCTTAGACGCGCTATTTATTTATCTTAGAAAGAAGCTTTCTTGTTTAGAAATAAGTAACGTCTTATAAAGAATCCATTTGATTTAGAAGCGTTAATAGTAAAGTCTTATTTTATTCATTGAATACCTCTATTAAAAGGAGGAAATAATAGTTTCTAGTTTAAAAATATTAACTTGATTTGTCAACATTTCCAGAAAAAGTCAAGTTAAAAGAATCCGCTTTATTTATATGGTTACAAATTCTAAAATGTTCTCTTTTTTGTTTTCAAAGGTTTTTCACCTGCATAAAGTGAACTTGCCAATCAAAATAAAAAGTATTGAAAAGAAGCTGTGTCACTGGAGTGAAATCCTGTTCCCAAAGTCCGGTAGACGCCTCATCCCTTTCAAGTGGGGAATACACACAAAAAGCCCAGGAAACTTGACAGTGAAAAACCGGAAGACCAGGAACTGGAAGAACTCCTGAGACGCTGGACTACAACTCAAGCAGACACCTGAGACCTAATCATCCAAGGTTCCTCGTTCTTGGATCACACCACTCCCAAGGCAAAAAGGGGAAATCATGGCGGATCAAGCGAGAGGAAAGGCTGTGGAGCAACTAAAGGTGGAAAGGACGACGGCAAAGCGGTTAGCCTCTCGACTGGCCAACACCATAACCAGGACTTATAACGACATGTCTGAAGAAGAACTCAGAGACAGTTTCAAGAAATTCACTAAAGAAGTTGAAAAAGTCATGGAAGCAAATGACGACTTGGAAGCTGGGTTCATTGCAGAGCTGGACACAGCTGAAGAAGCTGAGTTAACGAGTCAGCAAAAAGACGACCTACAAGAAACTGCAGAGGAGAGCATGCGGAAGCTTGAGGAGTTGAAGAGACTTATTCAAGAAGCTCTGTGGACTAACTTTGGAGAACATGAATTGTCAGTAGCTCTTCATGCGGCGGAGGCTGAAGGTGAACGTGCTGCTGCGGCAGAGCCTGGTGGTAATCTGGAGGCCTATGACTTCACACTCAACCATCTGAAAGAGCTTATGAGGACTGCAAAAGAAGTGCACAGTCGGTGGAGGCAGGGGATCCCTCCAGAAATGCGGGAGGACCTGCAAAGCCAGCTACGGGGGTTTGAACTCCATTTCCCAAGATTGTTCTCCAGAAAGGCAGACTTAATTCAGGCAAAAATGAAGGAGGACACTGAAGGAATGAAGACGGCTACTTCAGCCAGATATCCTGTGGCATCCATTAAATGAAAGCCAACAGCACTTCCCAAGTTCAGTGGCAACAGACACGAATTCCACAGATGGAGGATGGATTGGGAGGCACTTCAGAAGCAAGGTGAGCCTACTGGATCAAGAGAGGTGAAAAAGATCCAACTGCTGGACAGTCTTGAAGACAGAATGACAAGAGATCTTCGCCTCACTGCCTACAACACTGCAGATGATATCTTCCGTGTCCTAGAGAACCGCTATGGGAATCACACATCCATCGCCATCGAAATAGTGGAGGAGTTACAGAAGATGACAGCTGTCAGAGGAGATCAGCCACGTAAAATTGTGGAATTGATCCAAACTGTTGAAAAAGCTCTTCAAGATTTGAGTGACCTTGGAGACACAGGGGCTATAAAAAATCCACTAGTAACCAAATCCATTGAGAGTAAACTCCCAGATACCCTCAAGAAAGAATGGCTTGTCTATGCCACTGAGAGAAAACGTTCTGGTCCGACACAGAATCGCTTTGACTGTCTCCTGACTTTCCTTAAAGAGCAAGAGAGCATATATGAGCAGCTCGAGGAACTGAGGGTAGAGGAACCATGCAGGATGGAGGCCAAGGCTGATCCAAGGCATGCCAGGACCAAGTCTACCAAAATGACCGATGACCAGGCAGCGTGTGTAATCTGTGGAGACGAGAAACACAGGAGAAAGCTCTACTTCTGCAGAAAGTTTAGAGCGCTGGAGCTAACGGAGAAGAAGAGTGCAGTGAGGAAGCTGGGAGCATGCAGGAGATGTCTTGAGGTCCATGATGGAAGCTCATACTGCAAACCTGGCTTTCTGTGTAAGAATCAAGACTGCAGGAATGAGCATGTTCCCGACCATCACTTCTACCTATGTCCCAAGGCCAGGAGAAGCCAAGCAAGTCAGAATAAAAGCGGACCTGGTTCAGAGGGAAATAAAGACGGGAGGAGATGTACAGAGTACCAAGAAGATCTCCTCAACAAGCTACCTCCGGAATTGGCGAAACAGTGTCGGGATGTGTTCTCAAATGCTGCGTCAAGAACCCTCAGCAATAGAAAAGACCAGTTAGGACTTCTAGAGGAGAGTGGATTAAAGGAACCACCGGTGCTGATGATGCTTCTTGAAGTCACAGCCAATGCTGGACAAAAAGTTGGGACATTAATTGATTTGGCCTCCGACACGAACTATATAGCCCACAAGGCTGCAAAGAAACTGAACCTGAGTGAAGAAATCACGCTTGTCATCCATGGAATTGGAGGGATGAAGGTTTTCGTGGAGACCCGAAGATACCTTCTAAAGATCAGAGTGAATACTCCCAAGGGCACCCTCAAATCACATCAATTTGTTTGTTATGGTCTGGACAGCATAGCAGATGTTCAGGGAAGTGTAACTCCAGAGCAACTGCAAAAACTATTTCCAGACATACCACTCTGTGAACTGAAAAGACCCAGGGAAATAAGTCTGCTGATAAGCCACAGAGAAGGTCAACTGGCACCTCAAAGAATCAGAGCTGTTGGAGACCTAGTCCTATGGGACGGACCTCTGGGGAAGACTGTTGGAGGAACTCACCCTGATCTCTTTGAGGATGTTACTGTGTCGGCTCACATGTCCAAGACACATTTTGCCTGGTCAATGAGGGCAGCTGCTGTCAAAGACAAAGAGGTCATTGGAAGGCAGCCTCCACCAAGCGAACAGGTTGTCGGCAGGTTTTGGAGAGACTCCGAAGATCAAGAGCTGGAGGACTATGCAGTCACCAGGGTAAACATCAGAGATAAACCTGCAGGGTGCATCGCACAGCTAGCCATGCAGGAGACGGCTAACCTGCCTCCTTTCACCCAACTTGAAAAGGAGCAGCAGGTACTTCATCAGGACAGCTACGTCGATGACATAGTCACTTCACACAACGATCGTGAGCAGCTGTATACCATCACAGAAAATGTGAAGCAGATCCTAAAGGCCGGAGGGTTTGAGCTCAAGCCATGGGCGTTCTCTGGTCAAAGTGGGAGGAAGAAATGCGGCAACAAGTTGGAATTGGATCAGAGGAAGACCATGATTCTACCGAACCAAATGTGTGAGGAGAACATTGGGCTACATGGTGGAAGAGGACAAACTCCATGTCATGGTTGGAAAACACTTTTCCAGGAGAAAGAAAAAGATGCCAGAGGTCAAAACCTTCTACAGGAGGAAATCCGAGCCCAGTCACCAAAGAACTCAAACATACTTGACTGGTGGTGGATTCCTGATCCACACAACATCGCTGACATAATCACCAGAGGAGCAAGCCCTCAAGACCTGGACAAAAACTCAGAGTGGCAAAATGGGCCAAAGTTTCTGAACTTGCCAGCGAACGAGTGGCCAATCAAATTCACTGCCAGAGAAGGCATCAACAGGCTGCAAAAGAAGGCATTTGTTGCTGCACTAACGAGGGCCAAGGCAGAGAAACAGGAACCACCGCAAAAGCAGAACCCAATCCAAACAGAGAGGAGACCACCTGCAGGGTCAGCTGTCCAGAACCTGGTGGATGTCAAGCAGTTCAATGTGCTGAGCCGATTGGTTAAGACAGTTGCATGGATCTGGAGGGCAGCAAAAAAGTTAATCAAACCCAGTCAATCTGTGAAAAGTGGGAGGCGGTATCCTCTTCGGGAGTCATTTCTGTAAAGGAGCGAGAAGATGCCCTGCGAGACATTTTACTGTCAGCCCAAGCAGGTGTATCATTCTCAAACACCACCATAGACAGGCTCGTAGTCTACAGGGACAACATATCTGGGCTTTTGCTTTGTGGAGGAAGATTCCAAGGTTTCAAAGAAGATAAAAGTGGTGTTCCCATCATACCTTATGATTCCTGGGTGTCGATGTTGCTGACTCGAGAGGCGCACAATGCTTGACACGATGGCGTGGCTGGAACCTTGCGTGTGAGAAAGAAGGCATGGATCATAAGGGGAAGAAAATTTGCTCAAAAGGTTGTTGATGGCTGCATAAACTGCAGAAAAGCCAAAGCAAAGATATGTCAACAAATTATGGGAGATCTGCCAACAGAAAGAACAGAGCCTGCGTGTCCATTTGAGTTTACAACAGTCGACCTCTTTGGACCCTATCATGTAAAAGAAAAGAACAACACTGAAGGTCTGGGGAGTTGTCTTCTGTTGCATGGCCAGCAGAGCAATCCACACAGAGCTAGTAAGCACAGTGTCGACTGAAGGGTTCCTCATAGCATATCAAAGATTTACTGCAATCAGAGGGCACCCAAAGAAAATCTGGTCAGACCCAGGAACCAACTTCATTGGAGCAAAGCTGATCTTGGAAGAGCTATACAGGTTCCTAAACAGCCAGAACAAAGTTGCCCTGGAAGAGACAGCAGCAGGAAATGGAACGGAATGGATGTGGAAAATCCATCCGGCTGACTCGCCACACAGGAATGGTGCCGCAGAAGCTGCTGTGAAGAGGGCACTCCAGAGTCTTGGAGGGGGAGCTGGGCTCAGCTATAGTGAGTTTCAAACAACCCTTAGCATAGCGGCTAACTTGGCAAATGAGCGCCCGATCGATGCCAGAGTATAGAGCAGAGAAGACTTTATCTGCTATGTCACCCCAAATACTCTCCTCCTGGGCCGAGGATCTCAAAGCGAGGACTTCAGGACCTTCGACTTCTCAAGCTATCCCTACAAGAGACTCCGAGCAATGCAAGAAGAGGTAGCCAAATTCTGGCGGAGCTGGAGCTAACCTTTTTGTCAGGAACAAATGGCACACTTCGCAGAGAAATGTCACTGTTGGAGACATAGTCTGGCTGTGTGACCAGAACACGCTAAGGTCAGTTTAAGCTTGGCCGAGTCATCAATACTAACGTAGACAGCAAAGGGATAGTGAGAGATGTCAACATCAGGATTTTCCCAAGCTATCCTGTCCCTGTGACAAGAGCCCAGCAGAATACACTAAATCTAACCTCTAAGAGGGGAAGCGAAAAGATCCCTGCCACCATTCTGCACAGAGACGTCCGGCGGCTGGTCGTCTTGTTACCTGCTGAAGAACAGAAAGAGTGACTAGGGTTTATTATTTGCCTCAAAGCAAGAGATCTCCCAGTGTTCCAAAAGAAACAGGAAGATCGAGTGGGAGGTGTAAAGTCAAACAGAGCCTAAGGCTTTAATAAACATAAAATAAAAAACAGATGACAAGTGGTCGAATATTAATAGATATGGATACATAGAATAACAATATCTTACAGTTTCTCGATTGCTAACACCCATTTTTTTTAATTGCTCAGTTTCTCAGAACACTAAACACAATTCACAAAACCACACACCCAAAGTGCAAAACTCCTAATTTTTCCTGCTAAGTGAAGAACTGCACTCAAAACTACATAAACACTTTCCAAATGCAAACTTTTGCACCAAATATAACACACTTCATTCATAATACTAGATTGATTGACCACCCAACTACACACTGCTGAGCATCATCTAAAGCGCTTCCATCTGTTATGGGCTATGCTCTGTACATAGAGGTTTCTACAGAGAAAGATTGCTTGAGTTTACAGAAATACAGTAAAGGAAGAAATACAAATGAGTTGTTGAAAAAAAGGCACATTTTATTCAAAAATAACATTGTGCAACATGCATCTCAGTACATAGCTACTATGCTTCGGATCTCTCCAAGTGTGATGCATTGTTTGCCAAAACCCAGTTTGTAACTGCTGCTTCCTGTGCCTCATTGGAAATCCTTAGCTTCCACCTGCACCTCTTTGTTTCTCAGTCCTTCAGATAAACAACAAAGATATAGTCAGGGCTGCGCAGGTGCTCGCCTAGGGCGCCATATCTGGGGAGATGCTGCGCTGGCAGTTCTGGGAGGGAAAAAAACATTTTGACCGTTGGGGCTCATCCTAATTTTCGGCCTTGATGTAACAATATTCACAATTAAGTAAATGTAACACCCTTTTCACCCCGGTTCCACCTTTCATTTGCCCTGTATGATGGGCGCTGTAAGTGATGAAAATGGGGGATGTTGGCTTATCTGGCGCCCGCAGCTCACAGACAAAATGCGAGGGAGAGAGGGAGGGTGGTACCGGCGCTGTTGTTATTATAATCTGGTGCCGTGCTAGCTGCTCTAACGGAGATAAGAAGAAGATGTTTCTACAATAATGTGGAGGGAGAGTCCTCTCCAGTCAGACTGAGAGGCTGATGAGTTAACTACAGCTCAGTGAGGTAAAGGACTCTTAGTCTAAATTCAAACGGGTTGGTCACAATTTAGCCTATGTAAACACATATTTCCAAGGCACTCCTTTGTAATTATTGGGATAAACAGGTTTTAAATCATTCCAATACTATAGGACAGTAACCAAAAATATCCTTTAAAACTGGAGAGATAAAAAAAAAATGCATAAATAAATGTTAAGGTAAAATAAGATATGAATGAACACAAATAAAATAAGTTACATTAATTTGTTATTGGCTATGGTAGGCTATTGGTTATGTTCACATACTTATTTGATTACATCCACTTTTCTAAGATGACAACAGAGACTTCCGACTCAAAAGCAGCTGTTGACTTGTGGAATCAAGCATCTAATCGCAGACTCAACCAGAGAGAAAGTAGTAGGCCTACATCATCAGCTACCATGTCTGACAGAGAGGAAGACAGTGAGGAGAACAGTCAGGAGGGTAGTGATGCTTGTAGGATTACTGGTCGTGCTAATGTTGTCTTGTGTTCACCTCTGCATGTGTGTTCTGTGTGCACCTCTGCATGTGTGTTCTGTGTTCACCTCTGCATGTGTGTTCTGTGTTCACCTCTGCATGTGTGTTCAGTGCCGTGTGTCTGGCAAATAAAGTCAAGACCCCCTCAAAAGTTACGGTTTATTTCATTTTAAGGATGAGCACCAAGCAACATCTCCAGGTGCTCCTTTGAGAACCAGGGCAAAAAAGTTATGTGCACCCCTGGATATAGTGGTTGGTCAGTGTCTGTGTTGTATACAGTGGCGTTTCTAGGTGTACAAAACTGGGGGGGCAGAAAGAGGTCGGGAGAGAGAGAGAGAGGGAGGAGAGAGAGAGGGGGGACAGAGAGGGGGAGTGTCAAATTACATACTGAAGACCACAGGAGCAACACTGTGAGCGCATACATTTACGTACACAGCGTGGGGATGTCATAGTAATGCACCTTCATACATGGAGTAAAGGTCACCATCACAAAGTAATTCTTAACAACAACAACAACAACCGTAATGCTTTAGCATTACAACACCATAGACTGTAAATATAAGGAAAACACAGACACTCATCATCGAGGTCACAATATCAATCGATCCAGCAGAGGCAAAACACAGAAGATCAACAAAATGACATAAATGAACTTACCAAAGCTGAAGGCTCACTTGAAAAGAAAAGCGGCACGGCGGTCCTTCCTCTGACAGAATGTGTCTATCACTTTGGGGATGAAGTCCTGTAGTTGCTGGATCAACTGGCTTTCAATTGAAAGCATGGCCAATGCGTTAAGTCGCGGCTGTCCAATGGTGTTGCGAGTGAAAGTCTTTATCCTTTTGAGGGTGGAAAAGTTCCTCTCTGACTAGGATGTCGTCATCGGAGTTGTCACTATTATTTTGACCAAAATAACAGTCTCAGCAAACGTTTCCTCCAAGTTGTTCTCGTGAATGGATTTCAACAGAGACAGGGCAGTGTTTCCAGTGTGAAGCTCACTGTGGCGGTAGAGCGTGGTCAGCTCAGACTTCAACTTCTCCTTGTTTCCCAACGCAGGCCACAGTTTCACGGCGCAGTCAAGCTCAGGTGTAGGAAATGACAGGACATGCTGTGGGAAGAATGAGCTGTCAACAAGCTTTGCAGCGATCAAATGGTCACTGTGAGAACCTCTGTTCCACCTGTGAGATGACTGTCACAAGCCTCCTTCATCACCGGCGCTGTGCTGCTGACTCGTCGGCCTGGCTCGTCTGTTCCATCATGAGCAGTGGCGGCCAATGCATCAGTTTTCTGCCTCATTTTCTGAACATTTTCCTTGAAACGGCAGAGCGCGCTGTTGATCCCAGGTGCATCGATGCTTCGTTTTTGCAGAGTGTTGTATAGAACATCCACTTCTGGCATAAGCAACGAAAAAAACTCCAGGAGCTGCATAAATGCTCGGTCCCGCAGTTTCTTTGACAGGCCGTATGCCTCACTTATGGTGACCGCATCCCATCCTGGTTGTGCGCGTATATGCTTCATACACTGAAGTAGTGCATCTTGGGTCTCCCAAACCGCGTTCACAGTTCTGCTTTTAAAGTTCCATCTCACAGCCGGTGGCCGTGGGATGCGTCTCTGTGTTGCCTCTGCAAGAGCTGCAACACGTTTTGGAGCACCGGAGAAAAAAGTGGAAAAAGCAGTTAGATCTGCAAAAAACACCTTCAGGATGCTCATCCTTGCTGAACACAGTTGCTGCAGGGTCAGGTTCAGTTGGTGGGCGTAGCAGTGAACAAACTGAGCGTTTGGGTACGTGCACGTTACCGCTCATGACGGCCGCCCCGTCATAGGTCTGAGCGATTAGCTTTTCTTTCAGCTTCAGGGGTTCCAGAACAGCCTTGATGCTGTTAGAGAGACCTACACCAGTTTTGTCCTTTACTTCCACAAACTCCAAAAAACGCTCTGTAACTGTGAGGTCAGGCATAATGTATCGCAGCACAATCACCATTTGCGATTTACAGGAGACATCGGTTGTCTCGTCGGGCTGAACGGCAACAAATGATGTGTTGTCCACTTGCTTGGCTATTTCCTCCCTGTACACATCATACATGCAGTCCAAGAGTTCATTCTGTATGGTGCTTGATGTCCCTTTGAAAACAAGCTGAGCTTCGTAGTGCCGTTGAAGCCTGGAATCGCCCTCACACATTGTCTCGAAAATTGACCTGAATATCCCTGGATTCAGAGAGTCCGCCGACTCGTTGTGGCCCCGCAGTGCTGTCTCACATTTCCCACAGTTTAATACAGGTGATGATCCGACCAAGCACGTACCTGTTTTCTTCCACCTTCCGATTATGAGAATCAATGCCGCGTCTGTAGGCGCTGTCAATCTGAGCTGCAACATTCACCCTTCCAAGTAATCCCAATTTTACGGCATTTTCCAAATGACTGTTGCTGCTCTCATGCTTCATTGTCCTCTCCGAAAGATGCTTTAAGTCCTTGTAACCTGTCCTCGACCAAGTACCTTGATCTTCACTAAAAAGCAGGCAAGGAAAGCAAAAGAGGGAATTCTTCTGGATGCTCGCCGTTAGCCATTTCTTTTTAGCAAACCACTCAGCGTTAAACCCACGTTTAACTTTGCCCGCAGTCTGGACCATTTGGAAATCCGGTGGATGGTGGGCACCGAGGCGCTTTACCTCCAGTTTCTCTCCGAGACTAAGTGTCTCAAATGTGTGCTCCAGTAAATGGTCAACTTCATTCATTTTCTTTCAGTTTTTTACTTCTTTTAATCGCTGGTGATGTTAGCTATATGCTGCTCTCTCGTCTCCTCTTCAAACTACACGTGACGTTTCGCAGCACTGCACACGTGAGTACTTACAGCCAATCAATTCTGAATTATGTGAGATGACGTATGGTGGGGATGGGAGCACTATGCCCCTACGGTCATTATTGTTTTGCCACACACATTAAATAGAAAAATACTCTGAGCATGCGCAGTGTAGTTTTTACAATCACCGTTCACTTAGACTGTGAGAGGGAGGGGCAGGATCGGGTTTTGTCCCACATGGCTCTAAACAGCTCAAAACGGCACTCTAGACACTAATTAGAAGAACAGACTAAAACAGAAATGTACAGACGAATCAGATTATTAAACATGACCTTAAAATATATTTTATATGTTTTTTTATTTATTTTTTTGTAATCATTATTTGTAATACTTTCTTCTGACACTAGGTGGGGCTGTGCCCCACCTGCCCCTAATGACCCGCCGCCATTGGTTGTATACAAGTAAGTTCACCACAGTACATTGTGCAGGATGTGTGTACAGTTATAGTATGCAACATGCCAACAATTCAATTACAGTAATGAAGTCAACACGTTTCACACAACAGATGTATCTGTTGTGATACTGATATATCATGAATTATGCAGAGCTAGAAACTGGTAACTAACCTGTTATCAAGTCTAAGTGTCCGGATTACAGAGGCAACAGTAAATCGGTTTAGATTAGGCTGAACCCTCTGTCCAGCCTCTCATCGTCAAACCATGGTTGATAACATTTCATTAGAGTACTCTTCCTCCTCTTCTCTTCCTCTTGCTCTTGCCCTTGCTTCCATTGTTGCTGTAAGAAAGTACTCACCTGTGGTCTTTTTATAGTGCTAACATCCTGATTGATGAGCCAACAATTATGCCATCAGGTGTTTGGTCAGGTGGAACGTGTTTCTTGATCATTGGTCCATGTGTGAGGCATTTTGAATATCAGTGTTTTAAACCTGCTAACACGTGACTTTGTCAGATTCCTGTGTCTTACGTGGAGAAACGTGTGCAGTGGTTTGCAAAAAGTGCCATGTTGATTTGCAAATTGTGTGAAAAGCTGAAAACGTGTTTGGAGATTTGAGCCGATGTTTTGCTCTTTGAGTGTCAGTTAAAATAATTGTGCTTTATGTATAATTTTAGTGTGTTAGCAATCGAGAAAAACTGTAACTTTACTCAGAATTTAAATCATAAACACTACTAATATGTTTAATTTAAAGACAAACCACCAATTAATAGGATAGACAACAGGTGTAATGATCGCAGGCAGTCCTGCCTCCTCTGGCAAGCTGGGTGTAATCACCCTAATTACAGAGCCCAGTGCTGCATCCTCAAGGAGGGTTTAAATAGCAGCTGTGTGCGATCCTAGTAGACGGAAGCGTGTAGACGGGAGGCACGTCAGGACAGGATCATAGCCATCATGCTGTGAGAGCTCCGCAGAGCCGCTGGTGAATGTTCTGTTGAATTGTTTGCGTGTATGCACGTGTCTTGTTACGGTACGTCCACACAGCAGCTTTAAACAAATCTTCCAACGCTTCCAACGCTTCTGCCCATTGACTTTGAATGGGGATGACGTCACTTTGCCTCGCTTTTCGCCGAACTGCATTGTGGGGGAGCGAAGCGAAGATTTCCAGGATTATCAGGATTCAAAAATTGAGCAATGTTCAACTTTTGAAGCTGAGCTGGAAGCGTCAGCCAATCAAATCCCGTTTATGCAAATCTGACAGTAGAAGTGCTAGCCAATCAAATCGCGTGTAAGCAGGGAGAATCAGATTGCAGTTAATTTCCTCATATTCCAAACGAGAAATTACGGTAGCAAATCACCCGGTTCTTTACGACCAGAACTATTAACGGGATACAAACCGGAGGAACCAGGCATGGAGGGAGGTGGCAGAGACAGTGGGTGAAACTGGTAGGTTTTCGCCTGTTTGGGGAGTTTATATATATATATCAGGGCCGTATTCACCATATACATTGGGGGGGACACATCCCCCCCAATATTCAGATACACTCAAAATGTCCCCCCCCCAATAAATAGCACCAAAAAAAAAAGTTTTAATTTTTTTATTCAAATAAAATTGCTATTCTATGACTTCTTTATTTTGGTTATTTGTATACTTGAAAATCTATATTTTCTGTTATTGTGAACTTCACCAAAATTATATTTCTTTTCATATGTAAATTGTTCCTTATTTTGTACCCGGGGGTGTATTTCGCTGTTGCACGTCTGAGTCCACCTTCAGTTAGCTTGATGCTCCAAGCAGGTCAGTCATGTTTTAATTTGCCCTCCATCAGTTCTGGTATCTTTTCTAGTTAGCCCTAAAGTAATCTATATTATTTTATTTGTAATGGTAATGTTAATGAACCCTCCGGTTTAGCTTCTTTGTGTAAGTAACTTGTAGTTCTGATGTTAAAACTGAACTTTTCAGGAATAGTAGCTAACTAGCTGTGGGCTAGCTGGTTTCAGTTGTTAGCCAGGGTTTGGCGGGCTAGTGTCAGCTATGTGGAAAATGACGGTGTCGTTTTGGATGTAATCCAATAGATATTTATTCATGTGGATTATTTCTATTTTGTCATTTGTAGGGTGTGGAAAGATTTAAAACTGTGATGTGTGACACCTATGGAATACCAAAGGTGCCAGAATTAATTAAATAATAAATACTCAACAATTATTATGAAATAGTATTTCATAATCGTCGGAAGCATTTAAAAGATACTCACACGCAGGAGGTTTGCAGTGTGCATCATAGCTTGTGCTGGGTTTAGAACGCTCAGAATTGCTAATAAACATGTTTAATTATCTTATATCCAGCGCTGCTGACCCGTATTCATCACATCAGCAACTGCAGATCGCCGAGGTCAAGCTGTAAGCATGAGCAAGAGGAAGGGTGGCAGTGACATTAGACAGTTTTTTGGGCAGCCTCAGAAAAGAAAAAAAGTAAGTTAAGAGCAGTGAGAAAGTGAGTATTGTTACCAGTCAGATAGCTTGTTTACTGATAATATTTCTTCCATGTTCACTCTGGTGTGTTCAGAGTAAAGAGAGAGAGGGAGAGAGAGAATGTGAGCATGGCGACCAGACAGGGAGAGTGTGCGCTGGTGACATGGAGGTAAGTCAGAAAGGAGCTATATTGATGCTTAAGACAGAATAATGACAACATAGCAGTCTAATGTTAATGTACAGACTCCTGTGTCCCCCCATATGTATAATGTGTATCAACAGTCTTTCTAGTCAATAGTTTACTGATATTTCTTCCATGTTCACTCTGGTGTGTTCAGAGTAAAGAGAGAGAGGGAGAGAGAGAATGTGAGCATGGCGACCAGACAGGGAGAGTGTGCGCTGGTGACATGGAGCTCAAGCTCAGATGTTATTGCTAGCATTATTCGGGAAATGGTGCCAGAGGCGAGAGGTCTCTTCGGTCAGGTGGAAGCTTTAGTAAGGCTTCTGTTGGTCGTCCCTGCCTCTTCTGCAGAGGCTGAGAGGAGTTTTAGTGCCCTGAGGAGGCTTAAGACATCATCGATGAGTCAAACGAGGCTGAATAATGTGGACATATGTCATGTGCACCAGAAGAAACTGGACAGACTGGACCTTGAAGGAATATGCCAGTCTTTTATCAGTGCCAACGATAAGCGCAAAAAGGCTTTTGGGTCCTTTACTTGAGGGTTGGGCTTTTTGGGCGGGTGTCTGGGAGGAAGTTGGGGGTCTTTTTGATTTTGAATGAGCGGCAAGCAGCTAGTGCGAGTCGTGGCTGTAAAACAAAAGGGCAATAAAGTGTTCCTGTTTCTACTGAAATTGCGTGGCACAGACCTTTCTATGGATTGAAATGCTTTAATGTGATTATGGTTATAGTTGTACTTTATTCATCCCTAATCTATAAACTAGATAAAATAGGGCAATGTAATACAATGCACAATTAGACATTATGGTAAAACATTTTAACCAGTTAAGCCCCAAGCCTGTTTTTCAGGTCTCAGGTTTGAAAATGACATTCCCAGAACAATTGACTATATCTTCACTTCTAAAAATGGTTAAATGCATAATCTTTTTTCTCAAAGCAATGATAAACCTGTGAGTTGGATGTAGAAAAAGTCAGAATCAATATAGATGTTTTTAAAGTAAATTCAGATTGAACATAGTAAAAAAATGTATAATGATAGTGTCCGTGCAAAAATAAACCATTACTTATTGTGAAAACCACCCTTGAATGATGGGATAGTAGACTAAAAGCTTTAGGAATCCAAACTATAAGATATAATAAGTACCCTGTATCAAGATTGATGCAAAACAAGTCACACCTTTTATATGATCATTATAGTTATACAAAATAAGAGAATAACAGGTATGACATCATTCCAACTCATACTATAGTTTAAAAAGGGAGTGATTTGTAAAATATGCATAAAGAAAAAGTAAATCTATTCAGTTCTGTTTCACATGGGTGTTGTTGAGATGTATCCATAGATTTAGTCCCTAATGTTGCTCTCAAAGTGCACCAGATTGATGCTTTTAACTTCAACATTTAAAAAAAAATCTTCCCGGGGAAGCATGCCCCCGGACCCCCCTAGAGGAGTTTAGGTCCCCCGCCCGCCCGCCCACATCCCCCGTCAAATTGTCCCACCCACATTGAGGATGCTTCCTACACCCATGCCTGAGACACAGTTTTGTGACTATTGTTGTGTTTTGTCCCCACAGGCAGGGGCATGGGGTTTAACAGGTTTTAAAGTATCCAATGTGTTAGTGATTTTTTATGTATTTTCCTTTAGAATGGCAGGAAATTAGTATTCAAATTTGTATTGAATTTTTGGTCCCCCCCAATGTTGACTCCATGAATACGGCCCTGATATATATATATATATATATATATAGCCTATTGCTCGCATAAAATCACCGGGGTTTTTTGCTTTGTATGTCGGGGGCGGGAGATTCATGTGATTGGTTGTTGGTCGCGTTGCCCGCAAAAAATCCCCAAGCTTTCAGACACGCCCAGCTCCAAGATTTTCAAGATTTTTTTAAAAGCTGGATGTACCGTTAGAGCGCGAGCGGCGCTGCGCAGCATTGTTTGTGTGGTTTCATTGTGCGGCACACCAAGAGCTAGACGCGCTGTTTATTTATCTTTGAAAGAAGCTTTCTTGTTTAGAAATAAGTAATGTCTTATAAAGAATCCATTTGATTTAGAAGCGTTAATAGTAAAGTCTTATTTTATTCATTGAATACCTCTATTAAAGGAAATAATAGTTTCTAGTTAATAATTCACTTGATTTGTCAACATTTCCAGAAAAAGTCAAGTTAAAAGAATCCGCTTTATTTACATGGTTACAAATTCTAAAATGTTCTCAAAGGTTTTTCACCTGCATAAAGTGGCTGCATAAAGTGAACTTGCCAATCAAAATAAAAAGTATTGAAAAGAAGGTGTCACTGGAGTGAAATCCTGTTCCCAAAGTCCGGTAGACGCCGCATCCCTTTCAAGTAGGGAATACACACAAAAAGCCCAGGAAACTTGACACTTATCTTATGTCCACTGCTTTAACCCTTCTCTTGCGTTAGGTCATACCCCCCTTCCCATGCTATTTTCGGTCAAAATTTACCGGTGTGTTTTGCACAGTGATATCTCTGGAACCCCTTATCCAATTTTGATGGTTGACATCTCATTTGAACAGTCAAAGCCAGTAGAATCAAGGGATGACAGACAGAATGACACCAGGGGTGAATTCTTTTTGGCAATAAGTTCAAAGATAGTGCTTATTTTACATTACTGTATATTATAAAAATGCTTGCCATGTAGGCTGTGTTTACTGGAGATGGAAATGATTTAGTTAGTGTTGTAGCTGAGATTCTTCCCGTTCCAATGATGTATGGGATGTATTGATTTGATACAAGCAAGCCAGTGTTTCATGTCATGGTCCGGACCCACCGGTGGGCCCATCAAGTTCAGCATTCACTGTGATGAATATAAAATAAGACGCTGATACTGTTTTCCTCAATGAACATTTATTGAAAGAGAAATATACCATAACCAAGCCCGCCTTAACCTGCCATCAGGCCCTGGGGCCTCCCTCATGTATCTGTCCGGTTGCCGTTAGCTCCCCTCCACGTAGCAAGTCCTCGTCATCCTCCCATCTCCTCCAACAGATAATGTCCCTCCTGTCTGTTCTTCCTCTCCCACTACTCCATCGCTATCAGAACCAGACGGCCTACTTGGCTCCGAGGCCCCGCGGCCGGCACCGCTGCCGCTCGGTACAGAACTCATCTGTCCTTCCTCCTCATCCTGGCCTACAGGTTTAAAATAACCTGTAAGCTTCGGCATGTTTTGTAATAGCTGCTTGTCTCGAAACTCCTTTTCCCTCAACAATTTCCTTTTCCGAGCGCCACTCTCAAACTTTTTCTTCTCCGACATTTTTTCCTAAACAACCTTCATCTGTCACTCAATCACTCGCAATTTGAATAAGTCACATGTGAAACATATTCTCATTCTGATTGGCTGTTAAGTGGTTCCCACTGACTGTTTCGGAGTCATCATTTTTGAGAAAAATCTCTGGAATCAATCCATCGATCTGATTGATTAGCGGAGCAAATTATCAAAATAGTATGGAGGGAAGATGTGTGTGTGTGTGTGTGTGTGTGTGTGTGTGTGTGTGTGTGTGTGTGTGTGTGTGTGTGTGTGTGTGTGTGTGTGTGTGTGTGTGTGTGTGTGTGTGTGTGTGTGTGTGTGTGTGTGTGTGTGTGTGTGTGTGTGTGTGTGTGTGTGTGTGTGTGTGTGTGTGTGTGTGTGTGTGTGTGTGTGTGTGTGTGTGTGTGTGTGTGTGTGTGTGTGTGTGTGTGTGTGTGTGTGTGTGTGTGTGTGTGTGTGTGTGTGTGTGTGTGTGTGTGTGTGACTCCGTTATCCGCTTGTATTTATGCCGTTACAAGCTTCAAAGTTCTGAATTTGCCGAAACAAGATTAATGTTCTGAAAGCCAAGACTTTGTTTATTTGAAATCAGATGAAAACAAACGGTAACGGACCCTGCCGTGTTATCTATGATTACTATACACCTTACATTAATAATTTCAGCCGGAGGGAGGGGGGGCGGCGGCGGCGCTGTGGAAGTGCAGGGTGGTGAGTGAGAGCTGTCATCTTCCCTTTACAAGCTTCACAAATGTATTTATTGTGTGATTTTGGAAATAAAAGTTTCATTTTTTATTTTATTTGTATTTGTTCATGATAGGCTATGATGAGTTGGAAATGGGGGACCCTGATGTAAACAAGACGAAAGTCTTTCTCTGGTCTGCATCCCCTTAACAATTGTATGTTTTGAGCTGTACTGTACTGTACCCAATATACAAGCTGTTAATAAACTTTTCAATCAATCAATCAATCAATCAGGCCCCCGATCTCCGTAGGCCCATGGGCTTCAGCCAGTGGCGTAACAAGGTTGTGATTGGCCCCGGTGCAAATATTGTTTTGGGCCCCCCCCCCCCCCATATCGCCCCAAACATAAGCGCACGCTGATGCGCTCACACACACACGGACTCCTTGTCCATACACAACCACTCAGAAGCGCCACATGTATAGGCTATCAACACCAGCCTGCCCTGGCCTCAGACCACCACAGCCTGACAACGGCACAGCGAACTAAGAAGAGGATTACACCTGTTTCCTTGATGTTTGTCTCTGGGGAATGGGCCGGTAGGCCTACATAGACCGATTGCTATAATATAGCTTTTGATCTTGGCGTCGGAGGTCTCAATAGCGACATAGAATCTCCTATCGGGTGGGGCTCTTGGACCACCACCGGGCACAGCCAAATCCAGCCTCTCCTCCTGGCTGGCTGGAGAAGAAGGTTGCACAGCCACGGCCACGGATACAAGCTGTATGCGTGGCCGTGGCTGTGCAACCTTACGGACTTATGGCGCTAGATAGCAAGGATGTTGGTGAGCTATCGTTAGCCTCCGGCTCCGGTTTCCGCTGCACGTCAACATTGCTAACGTTAGCGCTCGATTTCGAGGACGATGTATGACGGTCTAATTTTGTCAGTTTAGTTGTTACATCTCCTTGTTCTCTCTTGTCCTTTCTCTTTTGAGCGCTGCTCTTGTGCTTTGGTTTGCTGTACATTATAGATGCAAGCTATTACATTTTTATAATGCTACAGTACAGTACAGGTTGATTAAACGGTTCGCTCGTCACGCAAGGTATCACATGACATGAAAGGGAGCAGGGTCATTGGACAGACAAATTACAAATTAATTTAGGTTGCTTGGTTACTTTGAAGACTGCGTGAACCGGTCAATGCCATTGGGGCCCCCAAAAAAAAACTTTTTAAAAATGGGCCCCTTGCCGGCTCGGGGCCCTGGTGCGTTGCACCGGCTGCACCGTCGATAGTTACGCCACTAGCTTCAGCCCAGGTCAGCCCGTGCATTAAGGCGGCCCTACAGAACATGTGTGTGTGTGTGTGTGTGTGTGTGTTCACGCATATAGTTGGCAATGCAAAATTATGGAATGTCACCTCAGGCTCCTCTCCCTCAGGTGCCTCTTCCTGGTCTGTTGTAGGCTCATAATCTGGATCGCTGTTGTCTTCCATTTCTGAGACATCTTCCTCTATCTCCTCTTCATCTGGTTCAATCTCGTCTTCATCTGGTTAAAAAATGTGTCCAGAGCCCCTCGTACAGAAAATCGCCTAATCGGTCGCCTGCTCATTGTGTCAATGAGTCAAATGTGAGCAAGGCACAAATATAACTGCTTGAGAGCCAGTAAGGGAGGCGCATTTAGCACGAGAAAGTGAGACGTTTGTGTTTCTCGAGGCGCACAGAGCTCGCACCTGTGAGAAAGGGAGAAGTTCCCCGTGTGTGTGTGTATATAGATGTTTTCCATCTGCAGGATGAACATAATACACTCATACCCATTCATTTTCTATGGCGGTCAAATCTGACAGAAAACGTCAAGGGTGTTTCACTGTTGAATAAATCACTCAAAATGCAATGCAAGTGGTGATTATCAAGTGTATATGTTCAGAGGCCTAGTGTGGAGGATAAGGTATTGAGGCAATTGGATGAAAAACACCAGATATGATTCAAATAAAAGTCATTCGGTCACTTTTGACCGGAAACGCAAGAGAAGGGTTAAATTGCGCAATTTAAATAAACGTAAAGGTACAGAAAGACGACTCACAGAAGTGTGAGAATGGGAAGTTATGAGATTCAAATCGAAGATTTTATGTCATATTTTCCATGTTAAATATACAGAAACATTGCTATGCATGTTTTTTTACTGTAGTGAAAGCCTTTTTATCCCGTCACTATATTTCACTGCTGCTTGTCAGTAGGTGGCACTGTTTCCCAAGTATTGCACAACTGTAAACAGGCCATGATGCTTCAACCAAAATGCCATGTTTATACAATTCATGGAGACTTTTGAGGTCTATTACATGAAGACTTCTACGCAACAGGTTCACTTCAATACAACTCTCCTTTCAATTAAAACTGCATGACAGACCAAGCAAATATAACAGCAATTTTATTAAGGCATTCATACAATTCTGTAGAGGGAAATCTGAAGAGCAGTAGCAATGTACTCTGGTGAGGGTGACCAGTGAGGAAATCTGATAGAGCAAGTGGGATAAAAAAAAAAAATATTTGGTACATTTAAATAAACATTCACAGAATATAAGAGCAAGTGAATATACATTAAAACATAAGTGCCTCTATAAAGCAAACCCACCGAACATATGTTAGCATAACATAATTTGCAGACTTTATACAGCACTTATACCTGTTAGTCCACAAGTAAGTTACTAAATGGTGGAGAACATCTAATACACACATCTTAAATGAACATGGGAAGAAATGCCTGATAAGAACCTCTATAGAACCCATGGCTTTGTAGCTCCGACCAGTCAACTGTCGAGGTTAGAATCTACAACTGTCCGAGAGACCACCATAGAAGTCGCCTCGCTTTTAACACAAACAATTCTGAGCCAAAGTTTATCATTTGAGAATTGTTCCCCCCACCCTCGAATAATATAAGCACAATGCAAGTGGACGATCGCTATCACTGCATTCAAAAAATAATAATCTCAGTGCTCAAATCAGGTCGGCCACATTCATGGGCATCTCCTCCACGGTAGTATTGTAAACCGTCTCGATATCTCGGAGAATCCTCGTGTCTTCCTCTGTGACAAAGTTGATGGCAACTCCTTTTCTGTCAAAACGACCACCGCTTCCAATTCTGAAAAAGAAAAAAGTAAAGACGAGTTAGAATCACAGGAGAGGGTGACGGTATAGATAACATATGTGATGAAACTCACCTATGGATGTAGTTCTCTCGGTTTGTAGGGAGGTCATAATTAATGACCAGGGACACCTGCTGGACGTCAATGCCACGAGCCTGAGAAAAAGAGGGCATTTCCACATTACATTCAAGACTAAAGCAGGACATGGATAGTACATCGTGCGTGTTAATGTCGCTCGTTTATAAGTAACAGCATTCTACAAGCGGAGAATCCATTGTGGAGAACGAGCACTAATCTTCCAAAAGTTTTGACTGCTTGGCCATTTTAGGACTGTTGCAGGTTTGACACCATTTGGGCTTTCTTACATTTCAATGTTCACCGTTACATAAGACTTTACACTCACCAGAAGATCAGTAGTGATCAACACTCTGCTTGAGCCAGACCTGAACGCTCTCATGACATCCCGCTCCTTTTGGTCCATATCACCATGCTGCAAAAAAATATGTATTCAAGTTAGAACACTCTGCAGCCTTGCTACCAGTTGATCCAACAAAGATGCCCAGCAGGCAGAGAACCCAGCGTACCAGAGCAGAGACAGTGAAGTCTCTAGCATGCATCTTCTCAGTCAGTCCACTTTTCTCCTGGTGTTCAGGAAAATGACCGCCTGGGTGATGGTCAGGTTGTCATACAGATCACACAGGGTGTCCAGCTTCCACTCCTGGAAACAGCCAGGAAAATAGCCACATTATTTTTTGTCAACTGAACAAAGTAACAGGTCGTAATGCCCACTAATCTTTATGGAACTGAGCAGCTAATGTGTAGCACAGGATCTTGAGACAAAGGGGACTGGACATTAAGAAAGAGGTCCCCCAGAGACTCAATTGCGACACCATGCCTTTATTGTCCTTCCCTGGTGTACCACTGCTTACACGGCCACATGAGCTAAACCCGAAGGCTTGGCTCCTGCAGTTTGAGCAGGGTGCTTTTAGAGAAGGGGCCATTTCATAGTCAGAACAGTGTAATTTTGAAGATGATAACCCACCTCTCGCTCCACATTTATGTAGAACTGCTTGAGACCCTCGAGGGTAAGTTCTTCTTTCTTCACCAGGATGCAAACTTTTTGGTCACCTCCAACACCTCTGCTGGCAGAGAGCAGGACCACCTGTAGGAGACAACATGTTACCAAAAGATCAAAAATACTGAGCCGAGTAGAGACAGCGTTGCAGAAGTTAAACATTTAAATGCGGAACTAAGTGTGGCACTGCACCTTGAGACAGAGGCCACTGAACATTAAGAAAGAGGTTCCACCACATCTCATTTTCAGTACAGTGGCTAACAATCTTCTTCCACGCAATACTCTGCTAGCATTATTGCATGAAACAGATTAAATCTGGATCACACAATTATAGCAGTGTTCTGTTAATGCAGAAGGTATCAATATTTTCAGTATTGTACTTTAAGTCAAAGGATTCTTACTTGAATGTTTGTGCTCTGCTTCTGGAAGATCTCGTAGATCTCGTAGATCTGGTCTTTGAACCCTCGGCATCTCCTCATCTTCATCCAGAACAAACATCTTGATGCATTTTGCAACTGCACAGACATTTTTTATTTTTAAAATGAGCATTTAGTTATGAAACATTTTGCGCATACTGTGTTGACCAGGAGTGAACTTACAGAGGTAGCAAGCATGTGGAATACGCGACCCGGTGTGCCCACCACGATGTGAGGACACCCCGCCTGCAGCTTCTGGATCTCAGTACGGAGATTGTCCCACCGATGCATGCATGACAGGCTGCACCCATGTAGCCACCCAGAGCCAGAATGACTTTCTGGATCCATTAAGAGACGGAAGCAAAACAAAAAAAGACACAACATCTTGTCAGGATAATGTGTAGATCAGATGGCACATGACAATTTCAACAATGTGTGGAAGAACTGTACATAGTGATCAGTAAAGTTAAAGACATCTCCATTGCATTGTCAGTCCCGAAAGATGGTAAAGCATCATTTCACCCAGTTTTCCACAGCAACATAAAAATATTGAAACCACAATCAATTCAAATAGCAGCCAGATTTTAGACCGATGCAGCCATGCAGAGATGCAGAGACTACACCAATCTGAGGAGGATACTGTGCGTCACAATTTTTAAAGCTTTGAAAACGAAAAAGAAAGTACCTTGGGTATTGAATCAGTGTCCTCAATATGCTGTGTATAGGATCTGAGATACTGTGGAGGTCACTGTGACCTCAGAAACACATGTCTGCTGAGCCAGCTCTCTGGTGGGAGCCGGCACCAGAGCCTGAGCCTCCTTCAGCTCAATGTCCAGTTGCTGCAAGATAGAGATGGCAAACGTGGCCGTCTTGCCAGTGCCCGACTAACAATGACATCATAGCCTGATGGCAAGGGGACAAATGTTACTAACAGTAAGAAAAACATTTTACAATTCAAAAGAATGAACTATAACTATCAAGTTTCAGTATTGAGTGATCAGTAAGGTAAAATAAATATCCCCATAATTTGGTAAGTCCCGAAAGATGGTAAAGCATCATTTCACTCAACATGAATAGACTATTTGTTTAACAGTTTAATATGTTTTTGTACCTTTGATGCAAGGCATGATTGCCCTTTGTTGAATAGCAGATGGCTTCTCAAAACCATATATTCCCCTGAGAAGGGTCTCCTTCAGGTTCATATCATCAAAGTTGTCTGTAATCTCATTCCAGTTGCTCTGAAGTAAAGAAACAAAGTTTGTATAAGTCAGGATACAAATGTGTGGCTAAATCTGCAAAAAGACAATGTATGTTGTCATGCACTTACCTGATGACACCCTCAGGCTCCATTCCACCTGGTCCCCCATGGTCTCTCTCTCTTGAGCTTTATACGAAAAAAGGTAATTCAACATTTAGTCAATTTAAATTATAAATATGAACAGTGTCTTGGGGAGAGAGTACTTAACTGGTTACTACAACGTGCCATCCCTACCACGTGTCATATCAAGTCACTAGTTGTTTTTTTAAATCGACTTATGTTAATTGTAAGCTATATTGAAAATAAAAACTACTTCAGGTTTTACAGTAATATACAGGGTTACGCCCAAAGAGTCCGATTACAGAGCGTTGGGCTTGCCTGGGCGCACGTGACATCCCACGAGGGCTTAATTAACTGAGTCTCTGAATCTTCCCGCTAACGGACCATCGATACATGAACTGCTCCCCCGCCCGCTGTCTTTAAAATAAATTATCGTATGAAATACATAGAGCAAGATGTCGGACAGTTGGGCCTGTGGTGCCGAAGGGGGCTTCTCCTGCCTCAGAACAAGGCCGAGCTGTAGCCTGGCCTGACGGGCCCTGTGACTTCAAACCACCGGCCATGACGGAAGAAAGTTTTTTAAAAGAATGCAACTCGGTTTTTATGAATGTCATAAGGAATAAGCTATATACAGTAGCCTACAAGGTTTTACATGGCTAGTAACGGCAATTTGTATCAGTTAGCTGGACAGCTAATTATTAGCATCGTCCTCAGCGCTTGAGGCCTAACCACATATGTAAAAAGGCCTAACTATCAAGGTAATATATAATTAGGAATATACAGAGAGCACCCCACCATAGCACGCTTAAGTGCACCTAAGCATCTATTATTGTTCTAAAATGAAGACCGAATAAATGTTTTATACCTGTTGTAATCAGCAGCATCACTAGACACGATCCGTTCCCAACTGCAGCATGCGACTGGAAAGATCGCTGATGACGATGCAAACTGTATTTATACAGCCGAACTATTTTTCACTGATTAACTTAACATGCTCAGTTTCGTTGACTATGCACTCTCAGTTGACTGACTTAATGTTTGCATAACATACATTGCATTTACCATCTGCTATGTGCACATTTCTCTTCAATAACCGATACAAAATGTTAACATTAATCCAATCTATATTTTTCTGCGGAAGGATATTGCAGTAACAAGTAGTGCTTGGGCTGCTACAGTGTCTCTGATAGGACAAAAAACCCTGAGTTTGACATTTTCGTGCTCCATTTCTGGAAAAGAGGTTCGTGTGAGGTCGGTGCAAGATGAGCTCATGAAAAAATAGCTTGAATGTAATATAGTAGTAAGAAAAGTAACGGAGGCTATGAAACTCCATCATCTCCATCATCATGAAACATATTTTAACAGGCAGGGAGTTTATAGGGGTATTCGCAACAGTGAATGTTTTACATTATATATTCTTACATGAGGCTATTATATATTTAACTTAGACACATTTGTGGTATATTAGAAATCAGTTAACCATAGCTGTTCGGCTCAATTTGTTTTCCATTTCTGCAGGTTAATGTTGGAGAGAGGTTTTAAAGGTCCCATGTCATGCTTTTCCGGTTATTACCCGTCCCCTTGTGTGTTATGAAGATTTTGATGCATGTAAACGGTCTGCGAAGTCACAAACCCTCAAAGTACACCCTGTAGCGCAGGGGTATTCAACTAAAATTCAACGAGGTCCAGTTAGAGAAAATCTCCCCATGCAAAGGTCCGGAACATCAAAATGTCTAACTTGCTTCATGAATTAGTGTGATATATATTGAAGTGACCTGTAGCTTTATCAACGTCTGCATATACTGTAATCAACAACTGACTGCCAAATAAAGAAAGTACAATTCAAAAACAACAATATTTATAGTCAATGAACATTGAACTATAGATAAATACTGTGGATATGTGTAATGTTCCTCTCGGGCTGCATTTAAAAATAAAATAGAGAAAATATATAAAATAGCTTTTGAAAATATGAGCTTGAGTTTCCCTTTTTCTTTGTTAACCGTTTCACATCATGGCTTAACAGTTTCAGACGATTATAGAACAATATCAGTCTTTACACATCATAACAATTGAACAGTTTTAAAGTTTCTCTTTCTTTCCCTCTTATATTGCAGTCCCTCACTCACTTTGTTTTATTCAGTGCGAGAATTGAGCTGGGGCTTGTCCTGCCAGGAGTTTGTAAATCTGGGCTGACATGTAGTCAGGGCCATTCTCATACACATGCAGGTGCTCATTGGTTACAGTGATGCAAACACAGGTATGGTGAAAAAAGAGAATTATTCGAAGCAGAAAAAAAACAGCGTAATATACCATCTGACAAAGGCCTGTGCTATAATGCTTCAATTAACTGGCTATTCGTTATAATATACTCAGATCAATAGGAGACAGAGATGTTAAGTTATAAATCAAGGGTTTTTATTATTATTTACAGCAGGGGTGGGGAACATTTTTCCTTTCAATTTTTACAACATCCTCCGAGGGTCGTACAAATAATTGAACTCAACCTCTGCTTAAAAAAACTAAAATCACAGCCCATTCATTTCGCCTTTCTTTCATGCTGTGCAAAGAAAAAGAAACCAATCCAGATATCTCACCATGACTCACGTATGCATGCATGTGCACGGTGTGACCACCAAAACAGAAAGATATGGACACAAGATGTGTGGAAATGTATTTAGTATCCTATCCATGTGAACATGATTTAAGTGTGGGACCTAACCTCCTCTAGGGGGGTCCGGGGGCATGTTCCCCTAGGAAGATTTTTTTTTAAATATTGAAGTTCAAAGCATCAATCTGGTGCACTTTAAGAGCAACATGAAGAGATCTATGGATACATCTTTCAACACCCATATGAAACAGAACTGTAAGCAGATTTTTCTTTTTGGATATTTTACAAATCACTCGCCTTTTAAACTCTATTCTTGTTGTTTTTAACAACTTTTTTGTTACTGTCATATAGTATTTTATACCTGTTTTTCATTTAGTCTCATTAATAACTATAATGATCATATCAAGGTGTGCCTTAACCTCACTGAGCTGAGGTTATTTGAGCCTCTCAGGAGAGAGCTCTCTTCCACCGGTTGTAGAAAAGCTCTTTAAATTCGTTAGCATAGCTAGCTAACCAGATGCTAATAACAACAGATCGCCACTGTGCTCATGCCCGGCGCCATGGGAGGGCCAGGCCCTCCCATTTGACATTCTTGCCCTCCCCCAATAAACACGATTTTTATTATTTATAAAAATAAAAAAATATTTTTTTTAATTTGTTTTGTTATAAATAAGCTGTGAACTTTTATGCTACGATGTATGTGATGTCAGATAGTAACTAAAAAAAAATCGCAGGCTACGTCAAATAAATTCATGTGTCTGTTTTGTAATTCGTCCACATTTAGACCAATCACAGCGTCACACTCTGCCGCCTATTCTGGATTTGTTTATTGTGCATTCAGTAGACTCCCATTTCTGTTTGAATTACACAATGGACATAAGAAATTGGCTCAAAAGGTCTAAGGATTTATTAAAAACGAAATAGCGATGAAAGAGCTGCAGCCGATGGTGCTGCTGGCGACCCTGCACCTGCCGTTGCAGCAGCATGCCTTAATGTCACAAGCTTGACCTCGGCAAACCCCGGGGCTTGACTCATCAAGGCGGCCGCCACCAACGCTTTCCTCCGAGGCACAGCTTCTTGTGCCCCTACCATCACCACCTGCGTTGCCACCCTGTACCATACCCGCCAGCATCCTCCTCCTACTCCGTGCCGGTGCCTACGCTACCTTGCAGCACATCAACAGGTACTATTGGGCCAGCAACCGCTCAAAGACCAACAGCCCCAGATGATATTGGGGTTAATAAACCCAACAGGTGAAACTGGATCGTTTTCCAGGGAGATTGTTTTCAGGAAAGAAGCGCATGGTACAACAACAGACCATGGCTTGAAGATTCGTTAAAAGCAGACGCAGCCTTTTGTTTCCCCTGTAGACAGTTTAAAGTAAATACATCTTCTTCTAATGCGGCTTTTACTGTCAAAGGTTTTTGCGACTGGAAACACGCATTACAGACTGATAAAGGACTGCTAAGGCATGCCGCATCAAAAGAACACATTTCATGTGAGAGTGTGTGGAAAGAGAGACAGATAAGCGAGGAAACAAATAAGGAAATTAGTACTTTGGTGCAGATCAGCTGGCACGGAACCGTTATTACGCG